TCGAATTCTTGGAATTAGCTTATGAAATGGCTTTTTCTAAGATTAACAGTTTGGATATGAAATGTGGTTTTTTCTAAGTAAATTCGAAAAGAAATTATACCCATCCCTTCACCAATATGCCTTTAGAAACCTTTTCCCAATGGGTATCAAAAGCGAAGCGCAACTGTCAATGCCGCCGTCTCGCGCCCTCTATCTTCTCGTTTGGCCTATTTAAAAATTCAAAAGGCATACACGCCGAAAAAAATACAAGCCATCCTGGATTTTGAGTGGGGCGTTGTTGCACGGGGTGGTTCAAGGGGCAGGGGCAGGGGCAGGGGCATTATCGACGACCACTTGAGGCGGCTGCTCCAGTTTCCTGTCGCCAACGCGCGCACAAAAGTATGCAACATGTCTGGGCGAAATAAAAAAAAATGGTTGCAGAATGGCGAAAAAAGCAGAAAGGAGCGCAAACATAACGTGGAAATATTATAACGAGTGCAAATAAAACACAGGGATGTCGAGGATGTCTACAATCGTTTGGTGGCACGCATGCATGCCTAAAGGAAATTCCATCAAATATGCCAAACATGTTTGCGGCCAACGAGGAAGGAAAAGTGGGTGGCGCTTTCCTGGCGCCCTTTAATGTTTATTGTGCAAATAAATTCGGCCTTGAATTGCCTCAAAAGAACGACAGATGCACAGTGCTCTCACGCTAATCACAATTCGCTGGTTTTAGGTTGCCGCAAAGATATTAAATATCAACTAAATTGGTCACTCAACAAGATCAAATATTTTATACGTTGAAAAAATGTTCTTTTGAACTTTTTACAAGTTTAAAATTTGAGTTTATGCTTAATTTCTTAATTTATTTGGTTTTGTGTTACTACATTTGTTGTTTGATTACAAGACTAATTTACTAAATTACTACATAATTTAGTAGTTGAATTTCTGCAGAGTAAAATCTTTTAAATTACCTGATTTTCCGGTGATTTCTGATGCATATATTCTAACCCCCAAAGCAGAGGTCTAATTACCGAAAAGGATTCCACTTTCCCTGTAGCCACTATGCCATTAGCAAACACCTCGTCGCGAATTTTCTTTGATCTCGCCTTTTGTTCGAGTGGCCTGTGTAAATTTAGGCTGCTCTCGATAACCAATAGATGCTATTTTTGGACTTTGGGTTGAGGTCGTCGCCACTTGAGCACGCCTCTGGCCAGAAGGTGAAGGGGGAGGGGCGTGTAACAGGGGGTGGTGGGCGGAAAAGGGGGCGTAGAGGGGCTGGAAAATATTTGCGTGCAAGCGAGAGCGGGGTATATGCCACTATTTTGCAGCCATAATTCAGAAAACTAACTTTTCCGGGGAGAAAGAGGGATTACATAAATCAACATTTTCTGCTGGCCGAAAAAGCGCCAGAAACTTTCGAGCAAACAAATATTAATTTTAACTTTTGCGCGGCCGAAGCAATAAAAAAAACAAAAAAAAAAAAAAACGGAATAACAAAAATTCGGACTTAAAGCCTTAAATATATGATATTCTCGAATGTGTTTGTTAATTTGCCCATTTTAATGTGCAATTTTTAATTGTTTTTCAACAATATTTTCTGGCCAGGCGCAATGAATTAATTGCTCGAGAAGTGGGCGCATTGTCCAGTAGCTGCCACGCCCACCTCTCGCCATCTCTTTCGGGCACTTCCAGCCCACTCGCTATCTCTTTTTCCCGAGAGCCTCGCGATTATTCTTAACCGCTTGTTTATTTATGCGGCGCCGGAAAAGCAACACACATTCACCAGGGGAAAATGGGAAAAGCGGGAAAATCGGGGGCTCAAAGAGGTAGAAAGATAATGTGCGTCCGTATGTGTGGGCTTGCGCCTTTATTTATGCAGCATGCATTTAAAATAAAATAAATATAAATTAAGCATAGCCAGAGTCCCAAAGGAAAATGCCCTTCACAAAGATCCTCAAAAGTATGTTAAATAGTTGTCCAATATAGCTAAATCACATTTTTATTCTTAAATAAATAAATACTTAAAAAGGATAAATGGACGCTTAAACTATTAAAAGGCTTTCGCTATCATTAAGCCAAAATGAACACTCGTTTATCATATTAAATGAAAAACATCAATAAACAAGTAAATCCATTAATCGCTATCTGCACAATCCATTTCTTTTTCCAAAATGAAACTGTGCGGCCCATAATGAATTACATAAATAAGAACCATTAAATAAGTAAAGCTTTATTAGTTGAAAAATACTCATTAACAATTTGATCCATTAGGCAAACAAAACAATTTACAAATTAAAATAAATAAATGAACAAATACAAACAAACCTACATATGGAAAATATTTTAATAAAACTATATATTTATTTCCATTGATTGTCAAATAAAATGGATATTCATAGTTTTAATATTAATCATTTCTTATTTTTGCTACACATTAAATTAAATTAAATAACATTTCTACATAAAACTTTTGTATTTATGTAAAATAAAAATTAATATTCTTTAACTGTTTTTTTCTTAATTACCCTCTTTTTTTTTGGAAAAAAAGAGCATTTGCTGGTTTCATTCTTTCTTGTTGGGAGTTTTTCACCCACCCTCAGCATTTCATTATTATTCAAATTTTTTTTGTGGGAGCTTTACTCTTTTGTTGTTGTCGGGATAGTTGGTGGCGCCATTTTGTTGCCTTGCATTAATTGCAATGCAAAAAGGCATCGTCGCATAAATTTCTCATATTTAATTTCGCCCGAGCTGCAGATGGAAAACAGAGGAGACACGGGCGTTGGGGCAGCAAAAAAAAAAACTGAAGCCGGGAGGCAGTTTAATGCACTCTGTTGCATGCACCACCCCCCTGCACCCACGTCCCTGAGCGGATTCGTTTACATTAAATTATTTATGCACTCGACTGTGTGCGCCACTTGCGGCTTGACAAAAAAAAAAGAGGAAAAGGGGGGAAACAGACTGATCACAGCTGCCACTGTCAGGAAGGGAACACCAAACCCCCCCTACAAACTGCCCCCTTTTTTTCAGCACTTTAATCTTGACCACACACATAAAATTGGCCAACAAATGTGCAGACATTGGCCATTAAGGAGCGAACCCCAACTTGAACTTGGCCAAGAACTAAGCTGTTATCCTTGACTTTAGCCAACCACCCGAAATTACCGCCTTGCCAAGTCAACTGAGACTGTCCAATAAAATGTCAAAGAAAATGGCCAGAAAGGCTTTTAATTGTAATGAGAATGAGAATGAGAATGAGAGCGAAAATGAAAATGTAAGGCGAAATGTTGAAACTTTTTGCCTTTCGCACAGCCGAAGAGGAGTCCTGGAGCCAGGATCCCATGCTCCTCTATCCATATCCTATTCCTCGACCTCGTAACAAAGGGTTTCATGAGCGTTTAATTGTCGGTAATTAGCTAGATGAACAATGGCCAACTTTTAGTCGCAATGGAGCAAGTTTCAAAGAGACAGCACAAAGAGCAGCTGGGCCAGAAAATGGGTAACTAGCTTATATAAGTAAGGGATATAGAGTGCTTTTTGAGGGTGAAACAGATGCACGTCCCTGTGGAGGAAATAACAGATGGGTATTGTAAAAAAATAGTCTTTATTTTATACTTTTTTTTAAACAGCTAAATATCATTTTATTTTCAATAGAAGTCCTTTCCTATCGCTTCTATAAAATGTTGAAGGGTTTTTAAGAAATTGTGAAATTATTGTAATTTTTATTATTAGTTGTCTTATGTCCATATAATGCAGTCTCATTATAGCTTCAGTAAACACTAAGCCAATCTGCAAAAAAAGGAGTTTTTATTAATACAGTATTATACATAAACCGCAATCAACGGACAAATTGTCGTTAAAACGTTAATAGCCTTCACATAAAAGTATCCATCAAGCATTCATAAAAAAAGAACAATAATTTAAACAAGCTTTTATGACAAAATTAAATGAAGTTTTATGTAAAAATGCAGCAACTCACAATAAATTCCAGTAAATGCCAGTGCACATTTTTAATTGGGCTTTCGTTTGTAACAAGTTATACGGCACTTAATTAATTTCACTTACATTGAGATAGTTGGTTTTCCAAATTGTAAATGAATGTTTCATACATTTATTGGCATACATCTGAATGGTATTAATCCTGTTGCAACTTTAAAATTTGAAATGAATGTTGTACGCGTTTATTGACAACATTTTAAATGGTACAAATCCTTTTGAAACTTCGATTTTTGCACGGGGAAATAGCTCAAACATGTTTATTAAATTCTTAAGGAAATTACTGAATGGCAAGTGCGCTTGACTAATTTCCATTACATTTCTACAAAATTTCAATTGAATTTTACTTGGAATTTCGCTGGAATAATTTCATTCGATTGAGACACACACATACACACACTCCCGTAGCTTTTTGTGCATAATGAGCGGAGGCGAAAATTACAAAGGTCCCCAGCTGGCACACACCCACACTCACACACACACCCCCAGAACCCCGCCCCCTTGTTGGCGTCCACAGCAAAGGCAATTAAAATTAATTTAAAATTTACTCGCCTGTGCAAATGAGTCACTCGGAAAAAGAGCAGATAAAATGAAAACAAAGACCGATGACCACAGCTCTCAATCAAGGGAAAAACGCAATATCAGTTTGATAAGATTTTCTGCCATTTTCCATTATACCTTTCAAATAATAAGTTTAATCGGGGAGCCACCTGAATTGTTGAGATTTTAAAACCGAAAATTATAATGAAGTATTAAACTCCTAATACAATTAATAAACTTCTAATGTAATAAATATGATAGAAATATTGTGGTATAATTTTAAAACTGAAATCGAAAACGTTATAGAAATTGGCGGACAAGAGAATGTTGATGCTGATCTAGAATATATATACTTTATACTTTAAAGGGAATAATAGGGATACTTTTAATACAAAGACTATGAATTTTGTAACCAGTTTCGGTATTATTTCTCTGGGTGTGCCACCTCACTAATTGCCTATCTTATTTATCTAATTTCTCTTCAGAACTGACCCAAGCGCAGCAACCGATCCTGGAGATCTATCCCAAACAGGAGGTCCAGCGCAAACCAGTGGGCAAGTCCATGATCCTCACATGCCGCCCCACAGTTCCCGATCGCGGTTTGGTCGCCGATCTGCAATGGAAGGATAATGCCAACAACACCATCCCGCCGAAGCCGTAAGTTTTAACCTCAACATTAACCTCCGGTTATTGGTGAACTTTATTTTATTTATAATACACACAAACACACTTACACCTACCAATGAACATACACCACAACACTCGCATACACTTATATCGTATATCGTATTGTAGGAATTACTATCCACTGTATGATTCCAAGGGCAATAGAAAGAAACTGTAAGTGACGCGATCAGCTTTATACCGAAAAAAAAAACAAAAAACCAGTACATCAGTAACAGCAACCAGTAATTTAACTGCAACTGCAACAGTAATCAGTAAATGCAACTGCATCAATAAGTAGCAAACGGCGACAGTAACAATTAGTTAAACGATACTTTAACAGAGGTATTATCAGGAACTATAAACGTATTCATACAATCAATATAAAAGAAAGTTAAATTGTTATTAACTTTAACCGCCATTTACAAATATACCACGGTTGCTTGTGAAATTTTGAGTGACTTAAAAATTACCCTGCAAAAGTTTATGTGACTTTAGCAGAGATATTTTTAAAGAACATGGAAGTTTTCAAACCAACTTGCTATAGTTTCTGGTAACACTCGACTGCGACTGAAAAACCAAAGTTTTAGACTCGTAGCTTTGCCTCTGGCCCCGCCCAATTTTCCCAGCCCCTTTTAGTGTCGTTGTTTTGTTTGGCATGATTAATTGATTGATTTGTTCTTGTTTGTTGTTAACTCATCTCTGCTGCATTTTTCCCAGGCCAATTTAGCATTTGACATTTTTCATTCGACAACTGATACAAAAGCACTAAACACACGCACCCATTTTCCTCATGCAACATCCCTATTAGTTGTTGTACTAACAATTTTTCATCGTGAGTCTCCATATAAAAATCATAAGGTAGCTAAAAAAAAGCTTTTGGAGGTCGATACCTCAAAACAGACGCTTTAATGCGCTTAGCAGCCCAAAATGTTCCTAACTTAAATTGATGTTTAACTATAAATAAAAAACTAATTGAAAATCATAGATTTGTAATTCAATATATGTTGACATGTTCCACAATTATCTACAACTTCAGACAACTAAAAGTAATTTTGTAGAACATATAAATATAATTCATCAAGTTGTTTCGTAAAATAAAAGAAACCTATTTGACGAGCAGGTAAATAAAAAGGTAAAATAGTTTTGGCAGGAAGAAACACAATTTTCTACAGCGAAATCAGTGGAAATCTTTCCCTTGACAACAGGAAAAAGGACGAAATTGCAATAAAGGAAAATGCAAGGGAATGTGAAAAGCAAATGCGAATGGGAATTCTTAGGTCAAATATTCAGATCGAAATCTCTGTTCCCATTTTGTGTGTGTGTGTTTGCGTGTGAAAAGCGAAATCGTGTTAATTAATTTGCCCGTAGACTGAAGTAGTAGGAGTAGGGAATCCAGGGGAAATGCAAGAAAAGAGGCTTTTTTTTCAACCTCTGGGAAAGCGTTTCACAGCTGGCCCCCGTTTAACCCGTGAGTGGCACACAAAAAAGGACTCTAGGGACATTTTCCACCCGACCACTGCGTGCCAATTAACCCGTTTTCATTTCAAACTTAGGCGAGTGGAAATTTGTGTTTCGGCTTGGACTTCGCATTTTAATTTTTCTCTTTTTTCCGGACATTCCACATTTTATGTCGTTTTTATCTTATTTTTGGCTACCCTTCGAGGGGGGAGAATTATAAATATGACATGGTGTTTCAAAAAATGTACCTAATATTATTTATTTGCTTATTTATTAGAACCAAAAAAAAACGTAAGTAGTAGAAATTTAAATTCTTTGTTCTGATTGTTTTGATAAAGCTGTTTTCAATTCCTGTTTTACTTTAGGCCATTTCATTTATCATTTCTTCTTTGGCAAAGTCAGTTTTAATTATGATTGCGGCAACCCTGGCTGAACGAAGGGCTTTTCAATTCCACTCACGCAAAAGTGAATGCAATTTCTCATCTCAAACGTTGTGGCAACTCTGGCATAGTGGACGGCCCTCTTTTGGACAGGGTTTCCCCCGCTTTTCCCCGATTTTCCCATTGGTTTTCCCTCAGTTTCCTGCCCCTTTCTGCCTACGGCTGATTGTTTTGTGTTGGTTTGGTTTTCCTGTTCCCCTTTCTCATCTCTGTGGCCAAACTGTTGTTGTTGCTGCTGCTGTTGTTTTAGGGGCGTGCTCCGCCCACGACCACGCCCAGCGACCAGTCCTCTGCCCACAATACGCATGCAATGCATTGCATACTTGCAGGCGCGAAATGTAATTAAGCTGCCAAAAACCAACCGACAAGCCGGCCCACTTTTTACCACCCCCGACCTGAAAATGCGGGGAAAAATGGTAGGATCCATGGTTCTGTTTATACTCTCGGGCCAAGTTAATTAAAACGATTAACTTCGGCATAGTTTTGCGGCCGGGCATTGCTCACATTTTTGGGCACGGCTTTTGGCGGGGGTTTGGCTTTCCAATTTTCCCATTTTCGCCGGTCTATTTTTATTTTTGGCCAGTGGGCCTGTCAGTGGTCAGCACATCCTTTCTGTGGCCCCAGGGGCTATAAGTGGTTAAGGGATTGCAGCCATAATTCAGGGGAAGTGTTGGCCAAACGGACAGAGAATATCTTTCCGAAAACCTTTAGTTTGACGCTTGCAAATGAGCTCTAGATCACACTTTAAATTAATCAATAGTGTTTTAATAAAGTTTTAAGACCCCACTAACAGTGCATATAAATTTAAAACATATATAATACAATTGTTTAATAATCTTAACAATGGAATCTTTAATAAAAAAAAAAAATGACTCAAAACATGCTATTGTCAATTTTATAGACTGCAAATGAAGAGAAATGAGAGGAAATAGCAAGTGATCAATATTGCAGAGCTTCGCATTGTGCTGCAGTAAAATAACTAGACAAAGAGAAATGACTCTAGGACCTGTCTAAACAGTACCAAGAAAACCCCATGGAAAACCTCCCACTTTTCCGCGACTTTCTTGCGTATTCAATAACAGCGAAAATGGCAATAACAACACCAATGGCAACGACATCTTTATTCGCAACCAAAGGGAGCAAAAGAAATGCAATAAAAATCTAGAAATTGCTATATGGCCCCAGATCCCCAAGGCGCCAAGACTCCCGAGAGACAATCAACAGAATAACAAAAAAAAAAAAGTATAAAAAAAGGAACAAAATTTGATTTTTACGTATGCGTAACGGTTTGCTCATCCCTATTCTATCCTATTTTCCTTATTTTTTTTTCGCTTTCCTATGTGCGCAGTGCTTGGGCGCAATATTAAAAATCCAACGCAAATATGCAGCGAAATTTTTGCACAATGTCTTCAGAGCCCCTCCCCTCTTTTCTCGCTCCGCCACCCCAAACATTTTCCATTTTCCACCCACTGCTGCGGTTTTCCCTGCGAGGCGTCGTATTTTTTTCTGCGTCAACAACTTTTGTTAGCATAATTTTGGGCGCAGCAATGACGGTTTTCCATTCGCCACAATTCAGTCCAAATCAATAGGAGCATTTTTACAATTCGATACAGTCGAACTTCCATACTCGATCTACTTCTATTTACGTTAGAAAGGTTAAATACTGGTAAAAGCAATTGTATAACTCGAAGTCATCAAAAATCGAACTTATTTCTGTGGCAGATGGTTGTTCAACACAGACGAGTTTCAGTTTTCAGCTTTGGTTTTAAAGTTTAAGTTTTATAGCTTAGGTTTATACATAAAATTATTTAATGATGTTAGGAATTAAATTATATTTTTCCTATCGTTTTATAGTTGTAATGCTCCCAGATCGAAATTCCAATAGCCATATACTCTTCAAGGCATTTTTGGTACTATTTGTTTCACCGCATCTGTGTGAAAAACAAAAACCATGCAGCGTTCTTCGCTTTTCGGAATATTTTTTCTGTTTTTGCATTTTTTCCAACAATTGCGAATCGCAAATCGAACGCAGGTTGTGCCTGTCCCCACACAAACAAGGAAATGCAAACAAACACTCGCACACATGTGCAATATATAAAACCAATTACAGTCGTAAAAACAAAAGTTGAAAAAAAAAGAAAGAGCGACTGTCAGAAATTGAAATCAACCGCCGCAAAAAGAAGAGGCTTTCATTGACTTTTGCCGCCTTTCCAAATATTGCAATTGCTTGGCAAAAATAAAGGAAAGAAAAATGCATCCTTATCATTGTCCTTGCTGTTCGTTTTTCCCCTATTATTGTTTTTCTGCGTGTATATCCGTCTTTGTGTTTGTTGTTTTCGTTTTCGCTTGGCAAAGTCGTAATAATAACAACCGCCTCTATGCATATTTAGTTTCTGCGCCATGAAAACTTTTTTAATTAATTAGTACGTGAGTCGCACAATGGCCAGCAGTTCGAAAAGTGTAGGAGTTTTACGTAATAACTCGCATTCGAGGGGATTTCGGGTGGGCCACAATAATTTGTTTGCCTTATGCGATTTACTTTTGTTAATTCGCAAATACACAAAAGAAGAAATTTGAAAGCAGTCACGGAAAATTGCGAGCACTTACAAATGCAAAGAAAAAAGAGGAGAAATTAAGGAAATTGAGTTGGATTTCAGTTTTAATTAGCATATCGGGTAAGCACGCATAGGTAATTTATTCGGTAGTCACGGATTTAAGGAAGTTATGATCAACTCATAAGATATTTTAAATTATATAAGGAAAATGACTTTTAAACTAAAATATACTTCTCCATTAAATTTATATTGATTTACATTTGATACAACCTGAAGCCCTAACAATTTATACATTTATATATAATTTTATTTGAAACATGACAATAGGGTTTACTAGTTCAACTGTGCTCAAAAACTAGCGAACAACCAATGAATCAATTACACATAAAATACCGAATATTTCCCTGCATTTTGGCAGTCAAAGAACATTTTTGGTTTCGATTGTGCTGAAAAACATGATGGCTCTTATCGCATTTACATTGTAGGAAAGTCAGCTTTTCCCCCTGGGAGCCAACGGAATTTTCACATTTCCCATTCAAGTTGCCGTGGCAAATTTGCTGGAAATGTGAAATATATATTTGTAAGCGAAAAAGCCATAAGAAAAATGCGTAATACATTTTGGTAAGGCATGCAAATAAGCAGGGCAGGGCAACAGGAAAATTGTACTAACAGCAACAGCAATTGTTATAAGCATAAGCATAAAAATAATACTAATAATTATACGGAGAACATACTCCTGTGTACTACTGACATCATACTTACATTCTTATACTCGTAATCGTACAATTGAAATGCATATTATTCCGTTACTAATCCACATGCAACCCGCTTTCATTATCCCCGTTTTCCGCCACCCCTTCTCGACGATTTTCCACGCTTTTCCGCCAAAAAAGGATTGGACGCAACCAACCGCCGATGTACACGGAAACGCTGCCCGGCGATAGTTTGGCCCTGATGATTACCTCGCTGTCCTCGGAAATGGGCGGCATATACTACTGCACCGCCTCCTATGCAAATTCCGAGATCCTCGTGAAGGGCGTCACAATTAAAACTTACGGTAAGTCCCAGCTTCTGTATGTAATAACATTCCACGGCCACCGGAGCCACCAAATGTTTTCCGTGGGAGGGTTTCTCGAATTTATTTAATCACTTATTCTGCTCCTTCTGGCATATTATAATGTACACTTCAAATTTATTGGCTTATTTGCATCTTTTTAAACAGCGTATTTAAATAACGGTACTTTGAACAGAGAAAAAGTTTACAAAAATTACTTGTGTGTGTACTTGAATAATCTAATAATCTTCTGAGTCCGAAGACCCCTCTGATGATCTGTATAATCACGTATAAAGATCTTTTCGGTGGCAAGTTCATGCCGTTCTTTAAAGCTTCTTCAAAATAAATAGCTTGATCATTGATAGATACATCCTTTAGCTACAAATAGAAGACCAATTTAGTGTAGCTGACCAGGTTGCTCTCCCATTGTCCAAGTGCAGTTGTGTTCGGGTGGCCGAAATTTGTCATTACATGTCTGAGAGCATGCTTGACTTGTTGTCGCCATCGATTAGGGACCCTCTCGACTCCCCCTCGTCGTCCGTGATGCTGTGAGTAATCGCCATTTGAAAGCGGAAAAACTCGACGTGATTCCTCTGCTGCATGATTCATTTATCTTGTTAGCAATTTGTGTCCCCTGCACATTGCTCGAGTTCCAAAGTGCCGGAGTGTCCGGTCCAAAGTTACGGCAGTAAGAAATTACAGTTGCCGGGATTTCATTACATGCGCAGCATTGTAAGCGAATCTAAAACAAAATGGACGCGTCCAGTACAAAGCAATCGCTGAGGATCCTGCTCCCTGCCACCCACTTTCATCTCTCGAAAAATAAAAAAAAAAAAAAAAAACAGCAACAATGCCAGGCAGAACACGTTCCTCAATAAGCAGCTACAAAAACACTCACCTGCACACATTTTGCTGGCTCGTTGACTCTGTACCAACTCTTCATACCTCTTTCTCTGTGTTTTTTGCACCCCGTTTCTGTAGTCGAGTGCACATAAGTGACGCTGCAGCTCAAAACTTTTACGAGATTGATTTTTCTAAGCAATTTAAAGTTCGTACTCATTGCACACACGGAGCAAAAACCACTGGGCGCTAAAAACTGGAACCCACCCACTCCTACTGTCCCTATCTACTTTCGCCTGACGTTCAAACACATTCGGGTGGTGCAAGCGAGGAAAAGGGAGCTGCTGGTAAAGGTAAAGAAATAGTGAGCCAACAATACTCATGCTCGTGATATTTGAGAAATTCTGGACTGTTACAGGAATAGTACTGGACTACATGCGAAAAAATACCTGGCAGGTTAAATTCAAGTTCCAATTTGCATTAGGTGATTACTTACTTGTAAAGAGTAGAGTAAATGACAAAATGTCATCTTGAAAAAAACATTTTTTCCAAGAGTTGGCCAACAGCTATTAACAGTTTTCGTTGCTAAAATTTTTTAGATATCTACCCTTCTATCCTTAAACTATCTGGAATAATAGGGTAGCAAAGATGCTTAATCTAATTGAAATACTTTGATATTTTATCAAAAACCCTCCGTTTTTTCTAGGCGTGCACTAGCGTCCTTTCATTGCGATCTAGAAAGGGTAAACTGTATTGAGAGCCCGTCTAGGGTGGTGCGTTGGGAATCAAATCAAATATTTTGCCGGGCAACAAATTGTGCCCGGTGATATGGGCACCCAGAACTGGAGGAGTAGTGTGTATAGTGTATGGAAGCAATAGGAGTACTAGTTGCACTGCAATTCGAATCAAAGTCAATCGAACTGTTTGACTTGGCCTCTCCATTTCGTACACAACCACCAGTGTTGCCTAAATTCCAGGACATCTGTGTTGGTCAGCGTCAGTGAGTGTTGTCAAATGCCAAAACATACATGTAACTTTAGGAGCTCTCCAACTCTGCGGTCGGAATGTTCGGGCAAAGCTTGTTTAATCCTCTTTTCCCTCGAGATATGGCGATAGAAACCAGGTTGACCAGCATTCAAATATACAGCCTAACACCAGTTAGTTATCAACACCAACAAGGAGCAACTTAAGGATTTCGGCGAAGGATGTGGCCAGGATGTGGAGGAGCAAAGGGGACGGGGGTTTGGGGGTCTATAGAAGTAACTGGCATTGTGTTGACAACTCACAAGTTGCATTTAGTTAAGCAAATAAGCAGACACACTGCGACAGAGACAGTCAGAGAGCTGAAGGCAAATTGCTAGATTTACTTTTCCTACACTGGGAGAACAGTCTAATGAAAATCTGAGATTTACCCAGAATGAAATCAAAACACATGTAACTTCAAAAGACAATGTATCAGAAGCATAAAATTACATTTCTACAAACATAATAACAAAACACAATCAGTCCTAGTCTTGCAGTTAAATTAACTCTTTTTCTAAATTGGTTTATTTTAACCGTATATATTTTTATATATTTATATGTATATCTTGATTAAATTAAAATGAACATTAAGGTGTGAACACTCCTAATTCTACACTTTCAGTGTAGGAAAACAACGTACACATGAGCGGGAATTCGAAAAGGGGAGGCGACGGGTGTGGCATATTTACATACCGTTGTTTGTGCCAGTCACAGCTTAATATTTCAATATTTATGCTTTTAATAAATGCATATGCTCAAAACAAACTTCCGTCAGAAAAGCGACAGCAGCAACAGACGCACAAAATACATTGAAAGTAACTGCAGAATAGAATCTACTTCCGTTTTGCGTAGCGCTTTAAGTTATCTTGTGCAATTCGCAATTAAAGGTATTAAATCGTATCAGGCCAAAGAATAAAGGCAGTGCATTATTTTAATATTTATTCGTATACATACATACTAAATGTAGATAAATACGACTCAATCTGCTAACCGATAATGGTCGACATCCTTTGCATTGTTGGCCATGTAATTGCCACTAATAATGTTGATTGGAGGCATTAGAGAGTGTTTGCACTTGATAAATACATATGTTTATACTTCGATTTATCTGGCTTGGCTGCCCAATTAGCTAGTTCCTCTTTTCCGGCGACTGCAAACTTGGTGCATTGTGTCTGCAATTTGTACATTTTGTTAAACAGAACTACTCGACAGTCGGCAAATAAACAAGGATTTATAGCACGCTTTTCAGCTCTGATGCAGATCAATTAGCATTTAAATTAATTGAGATTTGTGTGTCAACCTCTTAGACTTTACTTGCCAAGTAACATTTCTAGAATTGTTGCATTCCAGGAATTTTATTAATGACTACTGTGTGCTTAATATTGATTGATTTTCAGACTGCTTAGTTATGAATTAAATTTGAAGTACAAAGACAGATAAAATTAACTTAAAACTTAGGTAACCTTTAAACATTCTCAGCAGTATCTCTTTACATAACTCATCATACAATGATGCAAGTGTGGTATTTAAATTACAAAATAAATGAGGAAATTGCATCGAATATTCGTACTCAATGGTTAAACAAAATCCCCTCAATTTAATCTCTTCATTGGCAACAATCTGTTATATATTATTATCACTTGCTGGGACCTTAATTTGAGCCCATTGCCATTCCAGGCCCCCAAATCAAATTGCAGTTCCCTCTTCCGTTATCCATTATTTTGGTCCATTTTTTTTTTTTTAATAAGTTGTTGCAGCAACTTTTTCAATAAGTTGTGAGTCGTGTTCGGTGCTCCGGCAAAGAAAACTCCGGATCCGGGCTCCTGGACTGCAGGACTCCGGCTTGTCCTTGTTCAAACTAATAATGAAATCGTAAACTAGTTCATCTTTTTTCCTCTCCGTTCTGCGGAGTTTGGGCGAGTATAAACCATATCTATCTGTGTGTGCCGGGCTGCCTGCCCATCAGACGTCAGAAACGAACGCAGCTAGCGAAAAGTGTTTGAACAACAAAATCTCACACGCCACGACAATGCAGGCAAACTGAAAAGAGCAGGGAATATCCTGGCAAAAATCCTGGGCAAAAGCAGGGGAAATGACAGGAGCAGCAAGTTTTTATTTATTTTATATGTTGTGTGGGTGCGCAAAAAAAAAAAGGTAAAGGAAAAAAGGAAAGCAGGGCGAAGAAGGAGGATTCAGGACATCCAGACCTAGACACTGCCAATAAAAAACTGCAAATAGAAAATGTTTTTAACACAACTTTCCGTTATTTTGGCTTTGGCTTTGGCTTTGGCCAAAAACCGAATTCGCCGGACATCCCATATATATATATATATATATATCTATATATATATAGTATTATACATCGTATATATATGGTCCTGGTATGTGAAAGCTTGACAGCTGGCCGACAGACAGAGATGACTTGTTATTACACTGATTTTTAAATAAACTGTAAATATTTGAGCCACACACACACACACACATGATGGAATTGAAAGGCTGCCAAAGATGGGTAACAGCTTTTTGGCGAAGATTGCCTTTTCAAATGCAAAATATGATGCCATATTTAAGGCGGTTGTGGGATCCATTAACACCTGAAAGGCGTTGACAAACGGGTTTCGTCCTCTCTTCTCCTTTGGAAAAGGCGCAAAACCTAAGCCAGATTTACATTGGCAGAGTTGAGGGCATAAAATATATAAAAAGAAAATCAACAGACAGGTGGATTTTATGTACTGATTGGCATGGTATTTCAAATACACTATTATGGAGGATTATCTATATATTGGAAAAAATAACTAAAAAGGTGAAAACGTACTTTAAATGTAGGAATTGTAGAACAAATTAACGGATAACTATTTTAATGCCTGATGAAGAACTATCGATTGAGCACAACTGTACTTTATATGTAGGGTATATAACTTGTAAATGTAATGAAAAAGCTTTTTTATCCGTATCTACTGCATTGTCCAGCTACCAAATATATATAAAAAGAAATCAGTTAACAATTCTTCTTTAGGCTGCCAACTCTTTCTATCCTTTCACTCTCACTCCTTTGCCTATTGAGCACAACTGTACCTGTAATTTACCTTTGGGACTTCCTTTTTTTCTTTCAGGCCTTTTGATTATTTTCTAGGTTTAAACAACTCTTCCGCTTCACGCCTTGACTTTTATTTTGGACCTGAGCTTTGATTTGCAAACACCTAGAACGTTTCAATAGCTCCCCTTTTTTTTTAAAGGGGGAGAGGGGCGCCCCTGTTTATTTTGTTGTTGTTGTCGCTAACACTTGGCACTGTGCTAGCAAGTATTTGATTTAGGAATTTCACTTTTGCAATGTACTACTACTATTTTGCTTGCTCTTTTTTTTTTGTCCATTTTCAATTTCCAAGTCATCTTGGCAGTGGAGATTTATTGGTAGCCAGGCAGTGGCGTCCATCTGGCCCCTTTTCCAGCTCGTTAGTGACCCTTAAAAAGGGGGGGTTGGTTTGAGGCGGGAATATGTCTTGGACTTTGCGCTTGATGCTTGAATTGCTTTTATGTGCCCGACAGTTTGTTTAAAATTATATTACGTATACGCCACGTACAGCTTCGCTTGGATTGTCAACATGACCAGAAAAATAGTGTCCTGCTTGGCTTGCATTTTTCCATGGCCTCCGATTCCGATTCCATTTTCTTTTATTTTTTTTGCCTCTGTCTGTGTGCTGTGTAAATGAATGCGAAGCAAAATCAAACAATTTGCGCACACCTAGCCCAAGAATTTGTTTGTCGCAGGACTTAAGGACCTTTATCCTTGGGCAACTGGCAATCGCCTTACTGTCTACAAAATAACAGCAGAAAGGTGTCTTTTGAATCAAGCAAAGGAAAACGGGAATTACACTTATTTAGATAATTAGTTTATAAATTATTAGGGTTCTTTTTAGGCTATTGATATTTTAAAGAGATCTTGGAAAATTCATTAACTTTTGTATGAATTTGTGATGTTATGAATTTAGAAACTCTTAAATTGGTATTTAAGTACAAAACTAAATAATAAAAGTACTATTTTTTATAAAATTATACCAAGTCAACATGTGGCTCGAATATTTCTTGGGGTTTCGGATTTTAAATTTTAATTTTTAGGCAACCAAAAAGACTTTATTTTAGCAAACATGTGGTTTTTGGCAAAGTGTATACATAACACATAAACCTTTTTTCTTGTCACTCTTACAGTGGCCATTACCTGGACAAATGCCCCCGAGAGCCAGTATCCCACTTTGGGACAGGACTATGTGGTGATGTGTGAAGTTAAGGCCGATCCCAATCCGACCATCGACTGGCTGCGCAACGGCGATCCGGTAATTAAAATGAACCCCTAATGCATAAGTATATCACTGACTTGCAAATTCCACCCACAGATCCGCACCACCAATGAGAAGTACGTGGTCCAAACCAATGGCCTGCTCATCCGCAATGTTCAGGAGAGTGACGAGGGAATCTACACCTGCCGTGCGGCCGTAATCGAAACCGGAGAGCTTTTGGAACGCACCATTCGCGTGGAGGTCTTCATCCAGCCGGTGATCGTATCGCTGCCCGTCAATCTGGAGGCCATCGAGGGTAAATCCTTTGCTGCCAACTGCACGGCGACGGGAAAGCCAGTTCCGGAGATCAGTTGGATTCGCGATGCCACCCAATTGAATGTGGCCACCGCCGATCGCTTCCAGGTGAATCCCCAGACGGGCCTGGTCACGATTAGCTCCGTCAGCCAGGAGGATTATGGCACCTACACTTGCTTGGCGAAGAACAAGGCCGGCGTGGTCGATCAGAAGACCAAGCTGAATGTCCTGGTTCGTCCGCACATCTATGAGCTGTACAATGTGACTGGTTCGAGGACCAAGGAGGTTGCCATCACCTGCCGCGCCAAGGGACGTCCTGCACCGGCGATCACCTTCCGTCGCTGGGGATCCGAGGAGGAGTACACCAGTGGCCAGCAGGATGACGATCCGCGCATCAATTTGGAGACCGACTTCGACGAGGAACGTGGCGAGAGCACCGGCACCCTTCGCATCGCCAAAGCCGAACGAGCCGACGATGGCCTGTACCAGTGTATTGCCCGGAACAAGGGATCCGATGCCTTCAAAACCGGACACATCACGGTGGAATTCGCTCCGGACTTTAGCCACATGAAGGATCTGCCGCCGGTTTTCTCGTGGGAACAGCGCAAGGCGAATCTCAGCTGCCTGGCCATGGGCATCCCGAATGCCACCATTGAATGGTACTTCAATGGCCGCAAGATCAAGGATCAGTTCGACACCAACCTGAAGATTGTGGGCACTGGTCCTCGCAGCGATTTGATTGTCCACCCGGTCACCAGACAGTATTACACGGGCTACAAGTGCATCGCCACCAATATCCATGGATCCGCCGAGCACGATATGCAGCTGAAGGAGGCACGTGTGCCCGATTTCGTTTCGGAAGCGAAACCCAGCCAACTGACCGCCACCACAATGACCTTCGATATTCGCGGTCCGCCAACCGAATTGGGTCTGCCCATTTTGGCATTCAGTGTGCAGTACAAGGAGGCCTTGAATCCGGACTGGTCGTCGGCCTTCAATCGCAGTTGGACACCGGATTCGCCGTACATTGTGGAGGGACTGCGTCCACAGACGGAGTACAGTTTCCGATTTGCCGCCCGCAACCAGGTGGGACTGGGCAACTGGGGCGTCAATCAGCAGCAGTCGACGCCGCGCCGATCGGCTCCCGAGGAACCCAAGCCACTGCACAATCCCATCCAGCACGACAAGGAGGAGCCGGTGGTGGTCTCGCCCTACTCCGATCACTTCGAGCTCCGCTGGGGCGTACCCGCTGATAATGGAGAGCCCATTGACAAGTACCAGATCAAGTACTGCCCGGTAAGTGGGAATTCTAGGGTATCAATATTAAGGGTTCCTATTCTTCAATAGTTCTGTTCGAAAACTTGATTCAACGTTTTTAAAAAAAAACAAAGCTTAAAGAAATTACAAAACACTAGTATTGCTTGCTAAAGTAATAAAGGTATGCATTTTGTGAGAATAGGTTGGCAAAAAACAACTAAAATTGTTTATTATTTACTTATTGGCTTACTATTTTGATAACTTAGAAATCAAAATATGTTTCGAGATTTTTTTTTAATTTATTAATTACCTAAAACAAATAAAATCTTATTGAAATTGATATGACTAAGGGAAGTAAGAAATAAGTAAGGAAAAAAGGAAAATCCCATCATCTGAGAACCATTGCATACTTTTCTGCAACTAATTGACTTCAACCATTTTGCAGGGCATCAAGGTCAGCGGCACATGGACGGAACTGGAAAAATCTTGCAACAGTGTGGAGGTCGTCGAGACCACTTCGTTCGAGATGACCCATTTGGAGGGCAACACCTACTACCGCATCGAACTGAAGGCGCACAATGCCATCGGCTACTCGTCGCCGGCATCCATCATTATGAAGACGACACGAGGTGAGTCCGATTCTGCTAATAACAATCTCGGCACGTTGCTCTATTCGGCCGGATTCAATTCCGGTGTCGGTGCGCTACACAAACGACTGTTCACAACAACAACAACAACAACAGCCACATCGACAACAACAATCACATCGATAACAACAGCAACAACAACAATCATAACGCTGGCCACCACAATAAGCATAACATTACTTAGTGTCCTAGCCTCAATGTTAGTCTAAAAAAAAAAAAAACACTAAAAACAGTCTAAAAAAAAAAAGAAAAATCAAATCGTTCGATCGATTGGTCGGATACAGTGGGCTCTATAAGTCAGCGTCCACGAGATCGTGTAATATTTTTAAAAAATGTGTACGCAGAATTATCACATGCCCATTGTTTCTGACTTTTCGAACGTTCGAATTGAGTAATCCGAAAAATATCGAATCGTATCGAGTCTACAAGATCCCAGCAAAAAAAGAATTGAAAACATCAAACATATATAACTGAAAAATCTCTCTCTATATATATATATATATATATATATATATACATCCATTCACACACAGACATCATATACATGATATCTAGATAAAGACATAATTTTTACTACTCTATATATATATATATGAATATGATACATATATCCCAGATATAATCGATAAAATTTGCATACATTTTTGTAGTGTTTATTTCAATTGCGTTTCAACTTTTGTTTGTTGTCTACACTCAGTGTAACGTCCACCCAGTAATAAACCCCCCTAAAACCAAAATCCTACAACCCAAACCCAACTTTCCCCCGAATTTGAACTTAATTTGCTCAACGTTATAACTTAATTTCATTGTCTTATGTTTTGAAACATTTTGTGTTTTGCATGTTTTTGTGCGTTCTGAATCGTCTAGAGCATCCTAACCTTGAATTTCTTTTTATTGATAAACCTATGAATATTATGTATACATTCCAATCGAAATGTTCACACCAAAAAATAACTTGCAAAAGTATTGCAACGCATTTGACTAAGCATTACAATTCATTTGAGATCGTGTTGTCGTCCCTCTGAAATCAAAATTCATTAACATTTCGCATTCAAATGCAAAATTCACCACACTCTCGTCAGTCAGCCGTTGTACGATATATATAAAAATTCAATTTTAGCTTAATTTACGTTCTTTTTTTTATTACCATTCTTAAGCATTTACTTAATTATAATTACCAACACCACACATAACATTACATTTTTTGTGACACAAAATGAAAGAGAAGAAAAACTCTAATTTTATAATTTTATATTTTTGTGTGTGTCTACATTCATCACAGTTTTCGATTGTAATATTTTTAATACGTATGACGAAACAAAAACAAAACCTGTTAAATGTAAATCTAGTATGTAATGAAAACGAAAAAGAAACACGATGAAAATCTTTCTGTTTGAAATTGGAATACTACCACACTAAAGTTCTTCATTATTATTTCTTATCACATCAATTATTATTTGATTTAATTTGATTTTGTGTGTATACTGCGATTACTTCTTTAGTTAAATTTTTGAATTATAAGCGATAAAACAAGAAAAAGTTTCTCAAATAAAACATTTAAAAAACCAATGAAACAAACTGTAATTTACTGCAACTGCTGTCGTACTCTTTTATTATCAATTATGCCTGCGTTGTCTCTCTCTCGCTCTCTCTATCTCTTTCGCTCACTCACATAACACTGTCGACCTTTCTTTCGCTCTCGCTGTGTTGTCCCTGTTCCTCGATTTGTTGTCCTTATTTTTAGTTAGCCTTAAGTCTATTTGTTGTGCGTAGTCCGTTGGATTGTGATTGTTTTAGTAAAAAACCTTTGTGTTTGTGTGTGCTGTCACCCTCTTTATCTGTCTCTCTCTCTGTGTGTACCGTTATTCCCGATTATTACCCATCCCTGCCGCTTTTGCCTAGACATAACCTCAATTTTAAACCTAACCTTAACTCTAACCTTAAATTTGATCTTTTTGGCTAACCTGTGGACTTAGTGTGTGCATCTTTTTAGGCATTTAGTCATAGATATTATCCTAACCAACAATAACCACAAAAATAACTCAACTAACAAACACATTCGTGGTCCTTTTGTTGGAGAAACAAACACTTAAGAGCAAACACACACACAAACTCGAAACCGAGCCAAGCAAAAACAAACAAAACAAACTAACCAACAACTAACTCACACTTTGCACATTGTGTTTGATCCAATGTCGTCGTCTCCTCAGTTAACAAAACCAAAAAGACAAAGAAACCTTAAAATCAAGACCAACCAACAACAACGAAATGTTCTTTTGTGTGTTTTCTTTTCTTCCTTTTTCTTCTACCACTTTTTCTTCCTTTTTTTTTCTCTCTTTTATGGTGTGTGTGTGCTAAAAACCACAACAACAACAACTCCTACTACCAAAAACAATTAAAATCGAACTGTAAAAATGCTAAAATGCATTCAAAAACCGAAAAAATCGACAAACAATTAAAAAAACCAACAGATAATCCCCATCCCTCGCCGAGTGGCGCTGCATCCATGGTTCAACTGCTTACCCTTAGCGCTGCTCTGCCGACAATGCTGCTGATTTTGCTGCCGACGACGTGCACTGCTTAAACGACATCAGCTGCGATACGCTTCTCCTGCTTCCACCCAACAACAAGCAGTGCTTGGAGGATCCTTCCGCTGGCCGTTTATCATGGGTTTTCCTTTCTCTTGTTTCCGTTTGGTGTGTCATTGTGTAAATAATAAGAAAAACTAAATGAAGGAATACAGTAAACAAATTAATAAAATAAAACATACACTTAACTAGCATGAAGAAGCGGACATGATTACGTTATATGTGCTCAAGTAGAGAATATGATCAATAAATATACCACTTAGGGCGGGTCACAATTCCATTTACTGTACAAAAAGAAAACGAAAAAAAGAGAAATACTTAGTTAAAAAAAGAAAAAAAAACGAAACCGGAATGCCAAAACCGAAACACTTGCTTACACAACTGATATTCGTACTTATATGTATCCTATATCCTATGTCTAACCGCTAGTTACCTTGTTTAACTACTAAGCCAATGTTAAGTTGTTATTTAGTTGTATGTGTATAGCGAGAGCATTTATAGAACACATTCCTATTTCGTACACCCGTTCCGCTTAGTTCAATGTGAATTTTACAACACTGCCAAGCGACACAAAAAATAAAAGAAAAAATTAAACTAAACCAAATTTATATATGAGAAATTTTAGCGAAATTCTACAAGAAGAATAAGAAATAAATGAAATATCAAGTGCATACGAGTACAAGTTACCAAAACAATTACATTTACACTCTATACCTTAAACACCTAAAGTTAGCCAAAAAGCTTCTTCCAACACTGTTTTCAAGACAGTTGCAAGCAGTTTTAGCCGAGTCTCAGTTATGTTTTGAGCGCGTAAACGTTAAGAGGGGACAATAAGTAACTCTAACTAAGTTAAAGCGGTGCGATTACGAATTTTTCACACACACAAGAGGGCTCACGAGTGTTTTTTAACCGTTTCGTTGATAGTAAGAGTTTAGTAAGCCAAAACTAGAATGCAACTCGATCTAGACGAACCGATATTCCTGTATACACGTTTTTTTAGCAAGTGAAATCGATTTTTCTAGCCAAATATATATCGTAAATCCAAAAAAGAAAAAAAAAACAACAATTTATACCTTTACAATATCTAGTTATACATACGTATACACATATAGTTAGTGAATAATGCAGCCCGCCTAACGTTGCTGAGAAAGTGGGGAAAGTGTTTTTTTTTACCGCCCTTGGGCAAGCAGTAGGAACTTTCACTGTTCTCACAAATCACACTTAAAAATAATGTCATTGAATGTTGTAAGCAAATGAAAACGAAACGAACGAATGATATCGAAATTGGTAAAAGGAAACGAAAGGAAAGCCTACCACTTAAGCAGTTCATTTTGGGTAATAAAGACAAACCTTTAACATAAAGCAGTGCTTGTGTGTGTAACTTGGGACAGGGTTGCCACCAGCATTTTGGATGTCTCCAGGTAACAAAAAGGATATGTTTAAAGCCTATATCTATATCTATGTATTATAACCAGTTTTTTGCACTGCACACGAACCAAGCGAATACACTAACAGCCGAACAATATATAACCAACCAACCAACCAAATTGTATAACCCCAAAACGAAAGAAATCTGTTAAAAACAAACCTTTATTGTTGATTGTCAATTGTTGATTATGTTGTATAGTTTTTAAAACTGAAGCAAAGCACTCTAGGCAAACGATTCCCCCTACCTTCTATATAATCCCCACTCCCGCACACATAATGTACATACATATAAATATCGTAAAAACAATTGTATTCCTAAGTTGAACTGCTTCACACTGCTTGTATACTTTGCATATTGGCCTTTTTATGTATTTTGCAATTTGTAAAAAACTAAAACACTTCAACGAACCGCTTCTTTTTCTCTCTCTCTCTCTCTTTCTCTTTCTCTCTCTGTGCTGAGCGAAAAGCCCCCAAACAATTTCCCGCCCCACTTTCCCCCCGGCTGCATGTTTTATTTGTAAACCCCCACTTTGAAAATATATGCCAAAAAAAAAAAAACAATGGAGAAAAAAATGCTAAGTTTGTTGCTTTGTTTGAAAATGCTTTTCATGGTATGTCAATTGGTGAAACTTGAAATTAATTTCGTACTTCCCTATTTTCATTTATTTTTTTGGTTGTTATGATTGCCACTACTATTATAATTAACTGTTATGATTTTGTTATGTTTAACCTTAGTTCCGAATTATTTCAACCACAAAATAATACACACACAAAAATGTAAAATACGTTTAAACGATTAAACGATTAACCAGCGATTAAGAAAACAGAGTTTTAAGTGATAAGCCGTTAATTGGAGAGATTTTCCTAGGCTAGTGAGCCAGGTGCTGGCACCGTACCACCTAGAGATACGTATAGTTAACAACACCCCCCAATCCCCCATATATGAATCGATCTGATTGACAACTTACTAATCGAGTACACTTGTTTTTCCCCACCCACACCCGCTCCCCCGCCTGCACCCTCTCTGATCCGCACAAAAATACAAACCACACAGGAAACGATGTCATCCAGGTGGCCGAGCGACAGGTCTTCTCCTCGGCGGCCATCGTGGGCATCGCCCTCGGCGGCGTTCTCCTGCTCCTGTTCGTGGTGGACCTCCTCTGCTGCATCACCGTCCACATGGGCGTCATGGCCACCATGTGCCGCAAGGCCAAGCGGTCGCCCTCGGAGATCGACGACGAGGCCAAGCTGGGCAGGTAAGCTCCATCGATTGCTATCCCATGTCCTTGTTCTACGCAGAAAAAAAGTGATATAAGCAAAGGTGTATTTGATTTAGATTCACGTTCTAATAGATCTGTAACATGCCTCATGCTATAAGTCATCATATAATCTTGATTGATCTTACTGCGCTTTTTAAAAATCAATAAAAATATATCATTCAATCCAATTTCCCTTTTTAATCGTTGAAGTCTATAGTATTAGTTTTAAATTTGATAGTTACTTCTTTTTTGGAAATACATATGCAAATAATACAGGATCATTTTGAATTCTTTTACTACAATATTAACAATTAATATAAAAAGAGTCACTTTAAATAAATTCCTAAATGTCATGCTAATACATTTTTATTTTGGCGATGATAAGGATGTAAAAATCGAATCAGTTTTTAAATTTGACTATGACAATGATAAATTAAAGAGATCAAATTAACCTCGAACTTATCGCTTAGATCTTAAATCTTATTTTTTTCTGTGTGCCTTAATTGATTGGAAAACGAATATTGCACTAAAAATCAGAACGGATTCGAATTTAACATTTTTGCTTTTCGCGTTCTGCTTGTGTTTTTTTCCCCAACACGCTCCTATTTGCGATTAAAAGCCGAACTCACAGGCGTCCGGACCTCGAGTACAATTGGGTTTATGCGCGGCCCAAGTCCTTGTTGTTCAATCGCAATTCCCTGATATCGGTCTGAGCTATGCGCCAAATCTCCAAAATGGGAGGCAAATCAAAATTCAAATTCCAAATTGTTAATACGTTGTTTTGCGTTTGCCTTTTCGTTTGTCATCAAATTTTTAGTGCAATATGATGTCATTCCAAGAACAGAACAGAACAACACAAACCCAGTCACAAATTTAGTTCAACACGAATACACCCAGTTTTGCTTTAAAATCATGTCCTTAGTTTGTTGGCTAATTGTACAAGAATTGTTGCGTTATATACTATATAAGTGTGTGTTTTAATAATGAATATGTTAAAGTGCTGCCGGGCTGCAGAAATTGGGATATAAAATCTCCATTTAGGATATCTGCTGCCCGCTGCCGCTAAAAGTTAAAGATTTAGAGTTGTACTTGAGAAAATAACGTTTTTATAAGAGTTTTTATAACATGAATTTTGTTAGAATTTTATTAACAAACAATGATAAATTAATGTTTAGTATAATAACCAAAACGTTGCTTAATCACAGCAGTTTGCCAGCTTCAATAAAGCAAATTAAACTTTTTGAGTAAAAGGAATATTTTAAAAAAATTTCCCTTTTTACAAAATCAGCAGTTATTTTCTCATTTAGAACTCTACATAAGCCAAACAGTAAATGTACAAAGACAAAACATTAACACTTAATCATTGTTGTCACTTACATACATACACACACACATAAAAAAAACCAATAAGAAAACTCCATTTGCTATCTATGTGTTTTACTCTCTCTTCGATACTAAATCAACCTCATCATGTATTATTCCAATCACCACACATCCAACAAAATCCAACCAATCCAACCAAAAACCGAACCACAATACCAACCCAAAAACCATCTAACCAAGCAGTCTTTACGGTTGGCGATTTCCGCTACCTTATTGCAGTGGCCAGCTGGTAAAGGAGCCACCACCATCGCCGTTGCCACTGCCGCCGCCCGTCAAACTGGGCGGTTCGCCCATGACATCGCCATTGTACGTACACCTCTGTTTTCTGTTTTCCGTTTCTGTTTCGGTTTCTGTTTCCGTTTTCGTTTCGTTTCCATTTCCGTTTCTATTGCCATTTCCGTTTCTGTTCCCGCTTTTCATTTTGATTTCCTTTGCCACTCTTCGTTTCCGCTGTCCGCTTAACTATATCTCTGCATTCGCATCTCTGCATCCTGCATCCTCTTTTCAAGTCGTGTTGTGTTTCTGTTTCTGTTTCTGCCATCTGCTCAATAACTATTATCCTATCACCTATCCAAATACCTCATAAGTCATCTTCATTAGCTAGCACTGCATGCCAAGCCACTTTAGCTGGGGTTTAATGGTACTCGAACGCGGGTGACACTGGCAAGGACCTCATGGCTCACAGGATCGTTGAGATTTTAATGTAACTTAATGTAATTTGATAGGTAGCCAGCAGTGAGTGGGGTAAAATCCCCATATGGCATATATATTTCAAACTATTTTGCAACATCTTAAAATTACAAAAATACAACTCACAGATTTTTTTGTAAAATTTCCAAATAAAAAGCATAGGAAAATTGTGGAATGTGAAAAATTGAATTTTTAACAAGTTTTCGCTCAAAAATATCAGTATTTTTACGATAAAAACGATAATAATTGTCCCATAATGAAATGGCATACCTCGTTGAACTCGTAACAAAATTTCCAATCGAACTGCATTCACAGCTTTTTTTGTAAAATTTTCGAGAAAACTCATGATGAAAACCTCACGAAAAATGTGAAAAAATGGGATTTTAACCATTTTTCGCTTAAAAATATCAGTATTTTTACGATCACAACGCCAATAATTGTCCAATAATGGAATGGCATACCTCGTTAAACTCGTAACAAAATTTCCAATCGAACTGCATTCACAGCTTTTTTTGTAAAATTTTCGAGAAAACTCATGATGAAAACCTCACGAAAAATGTGAAAAAATGGGATTTTAACCATTTTTCGCTTAAAAATATCAGTATTTTTACAATCACAACGCCAATAATTGTCCAATAATGGAATGGCATACCTCGTTAAACTCGTAACAAAATTTCCAATCGAACTGCATTCACAGCTTTTTTTGTAAAATTTTCAAGAAAACTCATGATGAAAACCTCACGAAAAATGTGAAAAAATGGGATTTTAACCATTTTTCGCTTAAAAATATCAGTATTTTTACGATCACAACGCCAATAATTGTCCAATAATGGAATGGCATACCTCGTTGAACTCGTAACAAAATTTCCAATCGAACTGCATTCACAGCTTTTTTTCTAAAATTTTCGAGAAAACTCATGATGAAAACCTCACCAAAAATGTGAAAAAATGGGATTTTAACCATTTTTCGCTTAAAAATATAAGTATTTTTACGATCACAACGCCAATAATTGTCCAATAATGGAATGGCATACCTCGTTGAACTCGTAACAAAATTTCCAATCGAACTGCATTCACAGCTTTTTTTCTAAAATTTTCGAGAAAACTCATGATGAAAACCTCACGAAAAATGTGAAAAAATGGGATTTTAACCATTTTTCGCTTAAAAATATCAGTATTTTTACGATCACAACGCCAATAATTGTCCAATAATGGAATGGCATACCTCGTTGAACTCGTAACAAAATTTCCAATCGAACTGCATTCACAGCTTTTTTTCTAAAATTTTCGAGAAAACTCATGATGAAAACCTCACCAAAAATGTGAAAAAATGGGATTTTAACCATTTTTCGCTTAAAAATATAAGTATTTTTACGATCACAACGCCAATAATTGTCCAATAATGGAATGGAATACCTCGTTGAACTCGTAACCATATCAGTATTTTTACCATAACAACGCTAATAATTGTCCAATGATGGAAAGCCATTCCTTGTTGAACTCGTGACAACATTTCATAATAGATAGCTTCTATTCCGCCAGTGTCATACTGCAGAAAGATTAGTTTTAAAATAATATACCGAGTAGCAGCAGGTGAGTGTCCTTGGGCTGTGCTTCTCGACTGCTTGGCACCTATTGCATGCGTAGCAGGCAGCTTTAACTTGGCTGCAATGAAAGTTAAGATTTGAATTCAAATTCTTCTTACCATGACTAATATTGAATTTTAATGTCACTTTGCAGGGACGAAAAGGAGCCGCTTCGCACGCCCACTGGCAGCATCAAACAGAACTCGACCATCGAGTTCGACGGCCGATTCGTGCATTCGCGCAGTGGCGAGATAATCGGCAAGAATTCAGCGGTGTAAGGAGCTCTTACCGAAATCCAGGACTCCGGAATCCAACCAACCGCATCGTGCACAAAAGGAGGAGGGAATGATATATTATACTATACATACGATGATCTTGCGAGAACAAGCCAAAGCCAAAGCTGGGGGAAGAACACTTGAGTATCGATCGATTGGCACACTAAGATGGTTTTAATTTACTTTCGTACACAGCGTAAATCTTACTAAATGTCTTACTATAAACACATACGATATCTTAAAAGCATCTTAAAACATTAAGCTCGAAAAACCGGTGAGCAAGCAAACAGAAAAGATAGCCGAGAAAGAATTAAGTCCATGTCGCTTCATTTTCTAGTTCATAAAAGAATTTTATATCGCTGCATTTGCTTTGTTTCTCCTTAGTCACAAAAAGAAAACATGAAATTACAAAATAACGATGAACAAGAGCAGGAAGGGTAAATAAAACAAGAAGAGAAGTTAAAGAAAGGACCTAGCTTAAGTATATATATGTATGCAAGAAAGAAATCTTAAATTAATGCCTTACAAACAAAAATTACATTTATTTAGCAGTTAAAGCGAAAAGGAGGGATTTATGCATGTAAGCCGCAAGGAATGAGAACGATTTCTTTAGTATAACTAACTTAAACATGCCATAAATAAGTTTTAACATTAAGTTTGCCCCCCTGATCATCACCCCCACCAATTCGTAGTACTTAAAACGCTGAACAAAAGACTTGCGAGCATTTCTTTCCACACAAACATGACATTAAACGGATAGTTGAGATTGAGATAGAACTCCTTGGTTTCCCGATGCTAATTCGTATACTTAACCACCAGAAAGTGTAATCCCACAGACGACACTTGATGAAAAATGCTCAATGTACATTAATGTTGACGAAATGAATATTTGAAAATGTTTACAAACTGCTTAGCTACTTGAAAAAACGAAAAAAGAACGTCGTTTCCGGTTTATCCCACACACATTTTTAAAAACGCTGAGAAAATGGAAACTGGCCGAAATTAGATGCTAAGTTGTAGAGAAAAATGGAAAGCTACGAGAATGCCAAACAACACAACACAACTCACTTATCTTTCATCCCACTTCCATCGAACAACTGCAAATCGCTCAGTTTGTGTTAAAAGTATTTTCTTATGTCTGTAAAAATTAAACAAATTGTAGTTAAGAGATCTAAAACGCATTAATCTAACGGATATATAAATCTAAAAATATATATATGTATGTACATGTATTTAAAGTTACTCATAAGTTTTTTTTTCTACACGAAACAAATAATACAAAATAAAAGAAACAAATTAAACGCGAACTATACAGATATGTAACCACGCCGATCTTAATGTATGTATGTTATATCGCCATCTCCATGGAAAGCGCATTTTTATTTGACCCCCCCCAAAAAATCCTTAATCCTTTGCAGAGATCCCCGATTTTTCTGTTCGTTGCCAATGAGCTTTGTAGCTTCTGTTGCCAGTTAAGTCAAGCGCCTTGTCAGAGCTTTTTACCTATAAAAATATATATACAAACGATACTATACAAAACCCTATCGAATAACCCACAAAGCGAACCCAAATCGAGATTACAGGAGGCTACACACATCTATGCTCGTTAGATTGAGATTAATGTGTATATGAATTTGAATTTGGATGCGATTGTTTTACGGACTGCTGTGCGGCATATGAAATATGTTTGCTAAAACACCGAACGGATCTAAGAACTCGATCGATACCTTCGTTCGGCGGCAGAGTGTAGCTTTTTATATGAACTAAACTAAAAATTGATTGAAAATTATACACTGAAACTGAAACGGGGAAAAATAAAGCGTATTTACTGTACTATAATTCCAAATGGTGTAGTTCTTATTTGTGGATACCCCAGATGCCAGGTAATATAATGTTTATAACAAATCTGTGGCATTATCAATATCAATTTTATTGGCTTTAAACAGGAGGCACACAAGGGAAGCTTACATTCTGTACACTCTGCGGATATTTTGCAATATCTATGGGAATATTATACAGTTCAATGGGCTAAATTAAAGCGTACTTAAGATTAGTGTGCAACGTAACTGGGGAAATTCGTTTAATGGGTTTTTGAACAGAAGGCACAAACTGGGGCTAACTTTGTGAGGTAAAATAATCTGATATTTGATGCGGCTTTGAAGATGACCATCATGCAGATAGACTAGGGACTGACTATCTTACACAGATATGTTACATCTTTGATTTGAGCTTCGTACAACTAGTAGTATTTCATAAATGAAACTTGCGCTAATACTCAGGGGTGTCACAGAAATATCCTTAGGTTTGCGATCTCCTGCTTCGTCAATACATTTAATCATTATTGTTTGTCAGCAATCGGTTATTTCTAAAATATTATAACCTATGATTGAATTGCACATTAAACTCTACGAAAACGCATGTCTTTCTCCTTAGCATAATTGAGCTGCAATTAATCGAAAAAATCTATCACCAAGTTTTCACAAATTAAAGGATATTTTGCTTAAGTATTAAAAGGATACACATTTGATAGAACATTTGCCTCGCAAATCTCTGAACATTTAAGTAGAAAGTGTTAACTAAACTATGAGGCTTCAGTGACACCCCCATATTGTTTTGGAGACGAACACATTAAATAAATTCACTAGGCGAGGGTCTGGCTAATAGACATACATTGGCATCCTGGTGGTTAGACCTCCATGCCGCCGTCGGATCGCTCGCCCTTCTTGAGGAGCGCCTCCTCGGCGTTGAGCTTGGTCTTCTCGGTGCGGGTGTGCCAGACGAGGACATCACGACAGCTGTTGGCCAGCGGCTGCAGCTGGTCCCTGGTGGTCAGATGCCTCAGGATCTCGCTCTCCTGATAGCCCCTTTGCACCTCGTACGAGAACATGGCCTGCGGATTCCGGATGAACAGGTCCATGCTGATGGCAAAGGCGGCCATGTCGATGGGAAAGGGTCTCTCCGGTCGCCAGGCGGCATTGAAGCCCGTCACCTGGGTCTTGTCCTCGTTCAGAATTGGTCGCTCCACCATCAGTCCACCGACCAGGCCCACGGGCCAGACGCCTACGCGACCCCTTTCGATCTTGCTCATCTCGGCGAAGAGCTCCGTGGAGTAGGAGTTATCGTCGTCCATGAAGAAAACTATGGAGTGGCGGTCCACATCCACGTGGCCCCTCAACCAGGCCAAGGCCAGATTCCGCTGCTCCACGCCGCGCGGCTTAATCCAGTTGGGATCCTTGCCCTTCAGCTTGAACTCCGGCGGTGTCTTGATGTTCAGCTGCGTGGAACGCTTCTCCAGGCCGGACCTTTCCAGTAGGTTCCTGACCAGCGAGGTGGTGGTGTTGGTATCCTCCACAATGATCCAGTGGAGGTGTGGCAAGAGCATAAAGAGGTGGGATAGTCTGGATTTCGGAATGGAAATGCAGTATTATCTAGGTAGTGTCTATGGGTTAAGGATGGAGTACCGACCTGGTCAGCTCCGCCTTTTGGGCGGGCCGGGGATACGTCGGCGTTACGGCGTAGATCGTGGGTAACGTGTCCGCCTGGACGAACATGGCCTGCAGGTACTCCGGTCCCTGGCAGGTGCGCTTCCCGTTCCGGTGCACCATCATCAGGACCACCAGGAAGACGATGATCAGCACGAGGACCTGGCGCGGGCGAATGCGGACCTCCGACATCCTGCGGCAAATTGGTAAGGAAATTTGTTTAATTTGTTAAAACAAACAAATGGCAAGCAGCCCAGCCACTGCCTAAAAAACGGCGAGCCAACGGTCACACTGCAAAATAACATAGGCAAACGTCAAACGCTTTAATGTCTAGTTTGGCAACATTAAATATTTACAACATAAATTATAATTAAATGATTTTTGACTTTTTGAGCTGTTCATTCTTAAAACAAATGAATAATTTATTTGTTAATATAAACAACTAAAACGGCTTAGTTCCCTGTCTTACAACCATTCGGCAGTTGGATCATGTCCCTGCTAATATCTCAATACATAGCTAAATAATTATTACCGTAATGCCAAACAATAAGAAACATTAATTTTCCTAAGGAACACAAAATATAATTATCTTTGGCTTTTTTAAATGTAATATTTCTGGAATTTTAATTGTTTACTGTTTTTGGGGTGAAACTAAGAGCTAACACAATTTTATTTTAATCTGAAAACTTTAGTTTCTTGTAGCATACTTTTGGGCAGCTGAGAAGTCCTTTTATGGCTTAACATTTTCTATTGCCTACATTTGTGGGCTGCTAAGTTCTGAGATTGCGCAGCCGCCTTCTAGAATTTAAGTGCGCCTTCGTTAAAACTGGAGAAATCTTTCAAATTAACCGAAAAAACGGTCACAAATGAACCTCGAACTTCAACGTTTCATTGCAAATTGTTTGATTTTGTACACCAGGAAACAGAAATTCCAGTAAGATGCCTTCTCAAAGCAGTCTCTGAGTTAGATCTCCAATAAGCAGTCACCAAAGTTCACCCGTTCACATTGTCCCCAAATTCGAACATTTACACGTTAAGCTTTGTGCACAAGTTTATCTGAAATTCTCAGGCCGACAACCGACGGCCCTAGATAGTTCCACCGAAATGTCCCAGTCCGGCGATAAGTCCCATCCAGATACCAGTGCCCCCAAGTCCGATCCCGATCCCGATCCCAATGCCGATGGTGGAAAGCTGCGCAAGCTAAAGTTCGCCGGTTGTTGCCATCTGAAGGACGAGGCCCTGGCGCGTCTATACAGGATCGATCGGCTGACCGACGAGGAGCTGGCCTCCGTGGACCTGAACCGCAGCTCCCTGATCGACGACTACCGTCACCTGCACGAGATCTCGCTGATGAGGCAGGGGGAAGTTAACCCGGCCCGTCCGAGCCGACCCCAAACTCCCCGAAAGTGCCCCTCCAAATTGCCGCAGTTGCGGATCAAGGAAGTGAAGGTCACCAAAATGTACAAGTTCCAGTTGCTCAATCAACTGGTCAAGGTGATGAGTTCGGAGGTCGAGCCACTGAGCGTTTTCCAGGAGAAGCAGTTCCAGTTTGATGCCACCTACCACGAGGACGAGGAGGTCCAGCAGCTGCCGCCGAAGGAGCGCGAGAGGCGCCGCTTCAAGTCCTTTTGCGATCATCTGGACAACATGTTCGTCAGCGGGGACCGCAACATGGCCATCGACATGGTCGTGGATGCCCTCATCCGTCTGAATAGGCGTCGCAAGCACATCCCCCCCAAAGGACCCATCGTTCCCAGTCGCATCCGTGGCGTTCCGGTTGCTCGTCGTTAATGCTAGTTATCAAAATATCCAATCCATCTGGTATCATGAAATCACCGATCAGACACACCCCCAAAATCATTCGAAAGCGTGTTGTATAGGAAAAGCTGGAAAATCGAAAGCAATCGTTTTCTTTTTTGTTAATTTTTATTTCGATTCTCCACAGAAATACACTTTCTCTCCAGTATATTATATTTTAAACACATTTTAAATTAAATTTCGATTTCCCATTCAAATACGTTTTTCAGTTGCTGCTTCGATTGGTAAATCGGTAATCGGCCCTTTTTCGAATTAATTCTAAATTATGTATAGGGAGGTGTGTTGGGGTTTGGGGGGATCGGAAATAGGGAATCGGGGTTACTAGTAGGCTTCGTCAGTAGTAGTAGTCGAGTACATATGTGTATATAGAAGTATGTATACATTTATATCAATTTTGGGTTGATGTCTAGTACGGGGACCTAAACCAAGAACCAAACGAATACAAATTCTCCATGGACCACTCATTACAGGAATTGAATGAAAACCAATATACAAATTATAATAGTTTAAGTAGGTTTAAGGTCTGACCGATTATCCCAATTTTTAATTGAAAATGTTAACAAAATTTAAAAGTCAAATAAAACCAAAAACCTTACATCGGGATAGTTAGAAACCCAAAAGAGATTGTAGTTACAAGTTAATTAGCGATCCATCAAAGATTTTCCTTACTAGACCTGTTCCAAATTTAAAGTTAGCTCCATTCACACGGTTATAAACATCTTGATCTACAACTCGATCCATTCACACTGGCCTAACGTATCAAATAGGTGTTCATAGAGTTATTTATTTGCTATCCAATAGACTTAGTCGTAGATTTTTGTATAAGTAAGTATCTATGATTATAGTTCCCACTGCGCTCTGCTGCTCCAATTCTCGCCACTACGTTCCCAATTATTGTTATTTTGTATTCCAAACTCAACAAGTGCACTCGAGACAGAAATAAAGCGGGTTAAACTGTACGCAACTCGAGCGATTACTCCGATATCCGATAACATATAACCGATAAATTGGACAATAAGCTAGCTATGCAAAATTAAAAGGCGGAACTAAAACAATTCTAGTTTTGGTCTGTTAGCCGACATCGCAGCCTTCAAACTCCAAGCTCGAGCCACCCTCGTCCTACAAATATGATCGAAAATGGTGGTTTAATTTATGGCGGGGAAACAAAATGTCCGATAATTAATGCCTGCCACTGATCCATCATATGTCTCTCTGTTTTTGTTTTGTTTTTCGAGTCACAATTTACTATTTATATACACATACACACAGCTACAATATATATTTTACATAAATACACACATAAGAAACTTTTTTTTGTGTTTTTTCTTTTGTTTATATGTAATTTATAATATTTTAGTGTTAGTTTTAGTTACTGGCCTAGCGTATAATTTAATTTCAATTTTGTTTTCAATATTTTCGGTTTTGCGTTTTTTGTTTTTCGTTAGTTCTCAATTGTCTAAAATTGTTGCAGTGTACATTGGCTTAGTTTGACTTAGTGGTTGTATATAACACTAGTTTACACGAAAACTGCACCTCTTTTAAATCATGTTTCAGAGAATAATTTGAGTTTGCTAAAATCGAAAATGTGTACAGAAAATAGAAACGGAAGAACCCTTTAGAGATATTCGCGAAAAGCATTGTAATTTAAAAGATATTTTGTCAAAAAATCTTGGGAATGATAGGTCTATCCAGCAGATATTGTATACATTTAGAAATAATATAGATTGATCTTTCCGAAAGTAGGCTATATGTGGCAAAGGGACAATAATTGACCGAATTAAAAATAAATATTAAATAGAATTTAAAAAAATCACTTTAACAAGTGGTAGATATTACAGTCCGCTAACAAAAAGTATCTTATTTCTGAATAGATAATCTTAAGTTCTTTATGTTAGTATACATTCTCTTCCGATTAAACCTACAGTTGCTTGATTTTCAGACTGAAAAATAGTTCTTAATAAAATTATCGAATAACACTTTCGTCTTCAGCAGCCTCTAATTAATTAGAAAATATAATGCTCTTTAAGGTAACCGCCAAAAGGCAAAATTTGTAAACTAGTGTAACTTTCTTAGACTCTCCTTAATGCGTGTGGTACAATTACATATATTTCATATATTCCATATATCATCAAGACCTCCCTGCAACTTATTTAAAATTTCTCTGGCTTCAGTTTTCAGTTTTTCAGTTTTTGATTCTGTTTCGGATGGTTTACATGGTTAACATGGTTAAGAGCGGCACAGCAACAGCTCTGGCCGAGTGTCGCATTCGGGAATTTAGGGGGTTGAGAGGGCCAGGAGTCGGGTTTGTTGATATAGAACATCTGTCTTCACTTTAGTCGGCATTTTACTTTACGTTTATTCTCAAAATATACAGCACATTAAATTCCAATTGAAGCAAAACAGTTTCACACATATTTGAAAACATTTCGCACTGTTTGTTCTGTTTATTCGGTCTTACAGAGTAGGCATTCCAGATCTGGTTCTTTAATGATTAGCTTTAAATAGACTTCCTCATTTAGCTTTTTAGATAATTTCAATTCTGTATTGTTATCATTCTCTGACATTTGTTTAGACTAAACTGTTTCCTGCTCGCGCTTAATCGATTTAAACGATTAACGCTTCGTATTATCAAAAAAAAGTTACGTTAATAGATGCGCGTATATAATGTATATTCCTAGATATAGCAATTTAGTTGCGCTCTTTATGCTACGAGTTCACTTAACGTTTATTTTGTTTCTCCGCCTCCAAATCATTTCATCCTCTACTGTTTTTTTGTTTTGTTTTGTATTTTTTTTTAGATTTTCTGCTTTAATGGTTACGATAACTACGTTTCTTTTACCCTCGGAGCAACCTTCTGAGGCTCTCCCTGCTAAACGGCGGCATTTTTCGTAAGTGCATAATTGTTTTTAGTGTTTCTGCTGGTTTTTGTGGTTTTGCGGTTTGCGGTTATTCTGTTTAACATACTTTCCTCATGAGGCTTATTTATGGCTAGCCGGAGCTAAGGAGCGGGCCTTACATAGTTTACTTTAAATAGTCGTTATCATACACACACATATCAAATATTTTCCGTTGGGCTTTCTAACTCTCTCCCTCTATCTCTCTTACATAAACTCAATGGTCGAACTGCCTCCTCAACTTCTGGGCTTATATGTACACGCGACGTTGACTCTGTCTAAGAACTAGGATTAGTTTTTTTCTGCATTTGCAATATCACGCCCCCAATGGCCGGGCGTTTTAAAAAACAAAGACAAAAAAAACGGTTGCGTAATAATAGTAATAATAATTAAAGTAGAGTAATAGTATGGTAATAGTAATAGTAAAACGTTGCGTTTTATGGAGCCAGAAGGTTGTAAATTAACAAAAGCAGATCAAAATGCTCGATTAAACATCACTATGCATCGCATCTCGTGGCGAAAAAACGGTTAAATCGCTGTCAACTATTGGTAAATAAATATCCACTTATTATCTGTCCTCTAATTCCGATTCCTTATTCCTTTCGCTCTTAAGTTCACTTTCTTAGTTATGTTTTCCATCGTATTCACAGCTGTTCGCACGGGTTCTTGTTATCGTTCAAAATCCCTCGTTTCGATCCTCTCCTGGCGATGGATTACCGATTAGGCTTGCTGAACCGGGACCACGCCCCTACATTCTCGACCTGCATCCGAATAAATCCTATATCCCTAATCCCAGGCACTCGCTCGCACTCACCCTGGAAACACAATCACCCCACTCACACCTGGACAATCCTGACCTCATCGGACAGCTCTGTTTCCTATAAATTGTAATCAATAGTTACTCTATCGATTCGTTACATTAATTAGCATAAAAGCGTATTGTTATAGCAATTATTTATAGTGTATGTACGATATCGGTAGATGTATAAACGATGACCCAGCACAAAGTAAAAAAAAAAAGAATATTTAAACATCAGAACATGCAATTCGAACTAAACTCCTCTTCAGTTTTCAGCCGATGTTGGATGCTCTCGTTAAATTACTGCCGGTATTGCTGACGTAGCTATTCCGATTGGTGTTGCTCCTGTTGATGTTGCTGCTGCTGTTGCCGATGATGTTGCTGATGTTGGGGAGATGTCGCTGATGCTGCAGCGACTGCTGATTCGGGTGGTTCCTAGGTCTCCTGCTCCTGCTCGTTATAGTAGGTTACATACTTGCTATTGGCAATGGCATTCCAGGCTGCAAAGTGCAAAACGTTGAGTCAATAATGTCAATATAACTAATATTTTGTAAAAGGTTTCACAAAGAGTAAAAGGTGTATTTTAAATTAAAGCTTTGCAGGAAATGTTACTTACTGTTGGCGATATAGTCGACAATCAGTTCCGTGTTGGTCATCATCGCTGGACGCGAGGTCTGTGGCGGCAGCACAATAACCTCCTCCGTCTCCGCGGGCGTCGTGCCCGCATCTCCTTTAAGGTCGGCCATGAAGCTCAGTTCCTGCAGGCTCTCGTCGTCCTCCTCGTCGTCGTCGTTGTAGGTCATAAACACGGGAAGAGCCACCTTTGCCTCCGGATTGGCATTGGGATTGGGATTCGTTTTGGTCCTGGCCTGCGACTGCGAAGGCATGGGCTCCTGCTCCTGCGAGTTGCTACGACTGCAGCTGGTGCTCCGCGCAGCGGCAGCGGCACGGGCGGCGGCTATGATGGCCGCCTCGATGTCGTTGCACGTCTCTAGCTGCTGCATCGATATGGAGGTGGCGCTCAGCAGCGTCTCCTCGCTGCTGCTGGCCTTGCTCAGGAAATTGTTAACGTGCTCCTTGATGGACGTATTGGCGGCTGCGTAGATGCCGCTGTCCCCCGACTGATTGGCCACTCCTCCAAGCATACCCGAAATGGATGCCAAGCAAGCGGCGCCGTTTCCGTTGCCGTTGCCGCCGGAAGAGGACGATATCGAGACCGAGGACGATGAGGTCGAGGTGCTTGCCGAGGCGGACGACGACCCTGAGGGCGTGGACGAGTTGATGAGACTGGCGGCGCTCGATGAGGTAGCGGTTGCCCCGGCATTCGGGGATGACTGTGCCGCCTCCGCGGAAATCGAGAGCATGTCCAGGCTGGTCGAGCTATTGACAGCATCAGAAGCGGCTCCCGAATCGTTTAGCTGCTGGTCACTGCTGCCGCTTACATCCTGCTGCCGCTTCTCTGGTTGTTTTCCTTGGTTTTCCACTTCGCTATCCAGCTCTTGGTCCTGGTCCTCGGTTTCATCTTGGCCCGCATCCGATTCCACATCCGTTTGCTGCTGCTTATTCGAGGCCTGCTTGTGCTGGTCCTGCTCCTCGTCATCCTCCAAGTTGTCGTCGAAGAGCTTCAGTTCATCCTCATTGAAGTCGCCAAAGATAAACTCATTGTTGCTCCTGCCAGCTTCACGATCATCGTTCAGTATGATCACGGCGCGTCGCCCGCCTGTGGTTTCCAAAACGGCACCAGCTCCCTTGGCAATGCAGCTACTGCTGGTCAGCTTGTGGATGCCGCCGATCAACTTCTTGGCCCCCTCGGTCTGCGTGGCAGCCGTGGTCTTCTGCGTGGTGGTGGTGCTGATGCTGGTGCTCGCCTTGGGCGTGGTGGACAGACTGACTGATGGCTCCTCTTGACTAGGCTTCGTTGGCTTCTTGCTGCCGCTGCTGCTCGGAGATAGCTCCTTTGGCTTGGTCTTGGCCTTAAACGAGGATAAAGCTATAGCAGGGGATGTAGTCGAAGCTTGACTTGGAGCTTGAGCTGAGGATGAGGATGAGGACGAACCAGGAACTGTAGCTGCAGTGGCAGCTAGAGGAGCTGCGGCTGCGACTGTGACTGCGACTGTGACCGCGGTTGAGGTAGTTGTTGCTGCTGCTGCTGGCGGCGATGTGGCCGAGGAGGCTTTTTCCGCCAGCTGCTGCTTGGCTGCTGCTGCGAAATTGTACAACGAAGAGGCGGTCGACGCCGAGCTGGATGCTGCGGCGGCCACCGACACGTTGTTGGTGCTGTGCCGCTTGACGGTCTTCTCCAGCGCCGGATACTGCTGGTCCAGGTTGCTGCTGTTGCAGCTGTAGCTGGCATCGTGCTCCACGCTCTTGGACTTCTGCAGAGCCGGCGTCGTGGAGGATGATGTGGAAGAGGTGCTGGCGGCGAAACTGCTGGCAGTGCTGCTCGTGGCCGCCGTTAGGGTGGGCGTGGCCAATCCGCTGGCGGGCAACTGCACCTGCACCTGCGACTGCGTCTGTGCCTGCAGCTCCGGCGAGTTGGTGGCCTCCGCATCGCTGCTGCTGCTGGCGGGCGTGGCATTCAGGCTCTGCGAGTAGCTGATCGAACTGGACGAGGACGGCGCCGTATTTTGGATGCTAACCACTGCTGACTGGGAGGCATTTCCGGCCGCAGCCGCTGGCGTAGTAGCGCCTGGCAGCTCTGGAAAGTCGGGCCGCGACTTGGACTTGCTGCCATTCTTGCCCTGGAACTTGTCGCCCAGCTCCAACTCCGTGTCGCTGGCCGTGGCATTGTTGAGGGCCTCCTGCTTGTTGCGGGCAATATCCGCATACGAAATGGGGGCTGGCGAAATGTTGTTCTGCTTGGACTGGCGCTGACTGGCAGCCTGCGCCGCCCGCTGCTTATTGTTTCCACCGCCCAGGCTCTTCTTCTTGCCCGTCTGAATGGGCAGCGAGTGGACCGAGTCGAGATCACTGGAGTCGGACTTCTCGGACGGCGGCATCGATGACGTCGACTTGCGACGCGAGCTATCCACCTGGTTGGCCACCGCCGAGCCGCCGTGATGATGATGATAGTGGTGATGATGATGATGATGATGGTGGTGCTGCCCCGGTTGCGTCTGGTAGTGCTCCTGGTATTGTTGCTGCTGCTGCTGTTGCTGCTGCTGCTTATAGTTGCTGCTGCCACCATTGTTGTTGTTGTTGCTGTTGCTCCCATAAGGAGTGTAGTAATGCATCCGCTGGGACATCATGTTGGAGGAGGCCGACTTCGTGATCTGCTGCATGCGTTGCAGATTGCCGCCCGTGCTGGCAGCCGCCGCCACCGCCGCATCGTCCATAGTTACGGCGCGCTGCTTCTTTGGTTTCTTCTTCTTGGTCACCACATGGAATTCGGCGGTCTCCGACAGCACGGTATTCAGGGCATCCAGCTCGGACATGCGCGCCAAAGCTGGCAACGGCAGCGGCAGCTGCTTCTGGCCGACAGTCTCTGACTCCGACCAGGCGGCGGCCATTTCCTGGTGGTCGCCCAGGTACTGCAACTCTTCGGTGCCCCACGATCGTCGCTCGCCCTTCCGCTGCTGCGATCCTCCCGGATTACTGCTGTTGCGCACCTGGACCGTCTGCTGTTGCTGCTCCTTGTTGCAGTTCTTGTTGATGTCCGCCACGGAGGCCGAGTTGTGCTTGCCACTGGCCGAGGATCCGGAGGCCGAGGACGACGACCCGCCAGAGGCCGAGGCATTGTTCGTGCCCTTCTTCTGGCGCATCATCTCCGTGGTCGCCGACTGGCGCTTCAGGTCGTCCACCTCCATTTTTGAGCAGCTGCGCAGCTCCTCCAGCGAGTTGCTCTTTTTGAGCTTGTTCTGCTTCTTGCGCTCCTTCTTGCGCTGACCCGCCGCACTGTTCCCGTTCCCGCCACCGTTCACATCGTTCTCGATGTACTTGACCAGCTGCTCGACGGGATCATTGCCCCGATAGCCGGCCACCGACTCCACGTCCACGGTGGTGGTGTTGCGTTCCTGCTGCGACTTCTTCTTCGCCTTCTGCTTGGTGGGCTGCTGCAGGCCAATGCCAATTCCCGATCCAGCCCCCACTGCGCCGCCTCCCGGTGCCTGCTGCAGCTGGCTGTACGATGCTGCCACCGCCGCCGCTGCCATGGCCGTGGTCGCGGTGTTGGTGCCCGTGGAGAGCAGCGTAGAGACGCTGTTCTGGCGGTGGGGCGTCGACGAGGTGACTGCACTGGCTCCCACCGTTGTGGTTATCAGGGCCGTGAACTGGTTCCCATTGCCGTTGCTGCTGGTGGCGGTTACTCCACTGGCTCCATTGCCACCGTAGCCGTCGCTCAATGCATTTCCATTCTCGTCCAGCTGGCGCTGCAATAACAAAAAGTGAATGGTTATAAATATATATATTTGCCGTCCGAAGTGTGTGACTTTGTATTATGTAAGAGACTAGCACGAGTTCGAAGGCGCTTTGAACAAAGGTAATTTTGAAGTACAAGGTAAACTTGAATAATCAGCAATATTATTAAATCATCGGCCCAAGAAACTTTCAATGTATTTCATACAAAAAAGAATTGTTTTAAAGATATTACTAAACTAAATCCATTGATAAATACAATTTAAGCAAAAACCTGCAGACCAAGTCTAACACAAATATGCTGTGAATATACCCAAATGCGAGACTCACCGTAGTGGCCTTGCCACCCATCGATGCAGCTGCCGCCGACGCTGCCGCGGAGACCATGCGTCCAATCTTAGCGGGACGCAGATCGCCGGAGAGCGCTTCGGAGGAGGAGGCGCCGCAGTTGCTGCCGCCGGACGAGGTCGAGGACGAGGTTGAGGGCTTGCTGCCCTCGATGGCAGCTGGCGAACCAGCACCGCCGCCGTAAACTGAGGAGCAAGCCGTGTAGTTGTCGTTGAGAGACACATAGCCGGCCTCCACTTTGCGCTTTTGCTCCTCCAGGCCGAGCCCGAATTGTCCAGTGAGGGCGGCCAGATAGTGAGCCTGCTGGCTCCTGGCGGACATCTCCAGGACGGAGAAGTGCAGTGGATCGTCGATTAGGAACTCCTTGGCGGCACCGGGACCGGCACCGGGACCGCCACCGGCACAGGCACCGGCATCCCTGGCCTCCGCCGGCTGCTTCTGCTGGCCGCTGAGAGTGTCGAGCAGGAACGTCATCGAGGGGTTCTGTGGCTCCAATTGCTGTTCACAGAGTTAAGCGGGAAAATTGGTTATTTAATCAGTCTCATCTACAGCGGATCCCAGAAATCCCTATATTCGGAGTTAGAACTAAGTACTTTAGACCGGGTTAAAGGACAAAACACAGGTATTTTTTTTGTTAGTCAATTGACTTAGTCGGGCTGAAGATCAAAGAAATAACACTGATGTGATTGTTGCCATTATTTGAAATGGTATTAAATTTTTCGAAACGCCAAACATTTGTACATCCAAGTGCTATTACTTTGAACGCAACTTAAAGATTAATAAACTTGCTTAACTACCATACTGGAAAAGTTCTATTCTGCAATTTTCGCTACTATATTTCGAGTTTCTATGTAAATCATGATAATGTAAATGAGCATATTTGGGTGTTTATGAGTGTGATTTCAGGGTGAGTACATAACTTGATTAGGCAACAGAGGGTAGTATTGATTATGGTTTACTACGGATTAGGACTACCGACTAATGGGGATTACGCTGCGAACGCGCATAAGCGTAACCCAGCCATCTGCCGTGAGTTCACGAAAACGCGCCTCTCTTACCGCCTGATCGGTCAAATCTGCTTTAACAAGGGCCCTTGCTATCTCCCAGAGCCTGCCATCCATATTGATGGCCCACCTCTTGAGCGTATCATCGCTTACCTCCAACAGGTAGTCGTGTTGGACGCCGCTAATGACGGCACCCGTCGCCTCGTCCTCATCCATGTCGAACTGGATGCCCGCCTCCGGGTCGCGATCGCTCAGATGGCTGGGCAGGCTGCTGCAGCTGCCGGTGCTGCTGCGATGATGGTGCTTGTTTTTGTAGCTACCTCCAGATCCAGATCCAGATCCCCCTGCAGCCTCTGAAAGCTGAGCCTGCTGCTTGTGCTGCTTGGCATCCATGACAGCAGCCGGCTCAAAGTTAACGCTGCTGGGCAGGCTGCCTCCTTCGCGCTGCCGGCCCGAGACGAATGAGTTCTTGATCTTCTTGGAGGCGGAGGAGGTGGCGTTTTGGTTGTGCTGCTGCAGCTGCTGGCGGCGATTTAAGCGCCCACTCAGCTGGTAATCACAGTTGAAACGTTGGGTTGCTGCCGTTGTCGCCGCCGTCGCTGCAGCCGCCGCCGCCGAGGTGGTGGCCAGCTCACTGCGGTGCGCCGCCTCGACGAGATCCTGCAGGGAGCCGCCCTGCTTGTGCCGCTGGCCGGGATCCGTGGACCGGTGATTGGTGGAGTTATAGCTGCTGTTGTGCCCTGCACTGCTGCCGCTTCCGCCGCCGCCGCTCGAGCCTGCTACCGCTGCACTGGACGCTAGTGCGGATGGGTTGAGTGTCAGGCAGGATTTAATGGCACGATAAGAGATCTCCTCGTCGTACTCAGCCTTTTTGAGCATTTGCTGCGGGAGCGGAGATTTAAAAAGTTAGAATAGTTGGTAATAACTGATGGGAACGATTTCGGTAAAAAATTTGTTGAGAGGTCCCATGGTGGAGAACAGTACATACTTCGAATTTTTTAAAGAAAATTGTTTAGATTATTTTATCAAAAAATGGGACTATTAATGTGGAAAATCATAGCTGAATTTCTCGGCTCAAAAAATCTAAAAACGCCCCTTAAAACATAATTTGAAGCCCCGGGGGTTTGGGTCTTTTTATCATAGATCAAAAAACAACAATGAATATGGGTAATACATTTATGACAAATAAAAACTCACCAGAAATCGCTCGCTCTTGTTCTTCCTGTCGCCAGGATTTCGATACCAGTAGGCTTCCTCGAGAAGTTTCTTCAATGATGCGTCGTCGATATCATTGAAGTCGCTGTCTTCCCAGGAATCGTATTTTGTCTGCAATCCAGTAAAAATAATTCCTTATTTAGTTATTAGACTATTTTTGGGTATTCAACCACACACATACATAAACAATCGTTCGGACTTAACCTCAAAAAAGGCTGGAGCTCGACTTATTTCAAACACATGCCCTTTCAAGTTCCCTTAGCAAACTGTTCAAATACCAACCGTAAAGTAATAGAAGTATTAAATAGCACACGGTTCTAATAAATAAACTATTTGGTGTTGCAAAGATTTGTAAAAAAAAATAAAGAAACAGAATGTGTGCGGTTAGCGGTTGTCGCCAATGTTGTTACTAGATAGGGCACAACTCTTTGTGGTTTTATGCGTTTCTTCTGCCTCCCCGATTCGGAATCTAAATTCGAATAGTTATCGTAGCCCAAAAAGAGTAGACTGATATCTGCAGAAATTCCAATGAACTATGAGTTCTCTTTATTTCTTCCGTTTTTTCTCCTTTTCCACTTCTGCGATAGTGTGTGTGTGCGTGGGAAGGTGCATGTGTGATCACTGGATGGCCCCAAAAGTAACGGTAAATATTCAAAAAGTGTAAACCTGCCCCCTTTGACCAGAGCGAGATGGCAGCTTGTAACAGGCTTTAATCCAGTTAAACCATCTCATTTTCCAACCAAAGCTTTAGTTTACGAGTTCCACTTTGATATTATCTTCTTTTACCAAAGCTTCATTTTAAATTTATTAGGGGGATGCCAGCAACTTATAATTATAAATATCCTTAAGTATTTAAATATATGTTTTAAACTAGAAAATCCCACAAAACGTTTCCGCAAGAACTAAAACTTTCATTATATACAGCCTATCAATCTTTCAATAAAATGGTACATAATTGAACCCCTGAAACATCAAGCGAACCAAATAAATTAATTTCTATTAGTTTCTTATTTTCTTTGTAAGAAAGATAATTGAAAACTAAATTATCAGCTACAAACTACAGACATTTATTTATTTTAGTTTATAATTTATGGTTTAAGTAAATGCGTGTGAAATTGGATGAGTATGTGTGTGGGAACTATTTTTGCAAAGAAACAAGTCTATATTTATAGAATGTTTATCCAATTATATCGATAAGTAATTCAAAGTTTTATACCAAAATGTGACGTATCAACCTAAGTAAGAAAATTAAAATTTGCGTTTGTGAGATATTTCTTTGCAATTTAATTCCAATTAATAAATCGGGAATGAGACATTATCTCTTGTCAAATTTATAATAGCTAACTCTTTGTATACCATTTTAAGTTAAAAAAAACTTTTAATCTAAAGCATTTCCAATCCTTCTAATGTATAACACGCAGTTAGAACCTGAAGACAATTTCTTATTGCTGCTAAAGAAAAAAAAAAAAACGAGAAAGTGCCCCTTATTCTCATTTGAGGATTACGAATATCTTAAATTATTTGTTTACATTGTTGATTTTCAGAACTATCTGAATTTCACATAATTTAAAATGTTTAGGGCCTAATAAAATGACGCATTTATATTTGGACATCTGCTGTATTTCTCCCAAAAATACATATTAGTACATATAACCCAATATAAAACCATGTATCAACTTATCCTAAAAACCTTATGATACTCCCATTGAAGTACTCACCTTTTTCTTCTTCTGTCGCTTGCCGACATTCTGATCGTCCTGGGTCTTGCCCTTGGCAGTGGCCCCGTACTGGAGGACTCTGCGGTTTGGTCGCGACAGTTCCGCACTGGGCGAATCCGACAACATGGCGAAGACCTGCGAGAAGGGTGAGTCTCCTGCTCCGTCTCCTGCTGCGGCTCCTGCCTCTGGCGCTGCAGCGTGGTTAGTAGAGCTATGGCTATTACTAGGGGATGATGACTTCTTGGGGTCGCTGCCTCTGCTGCTGGTGGTGGCTACGTGGTTGGTAGCTACTGCTGGAGCACTCTGGCTGTTATCTTTGACCTCCTGACTGGCGGAGGCCTCGTCAAGGCCGGCAATCCCCACATCCAGCTGCGCGACATGGTCCGACATCATGGTCATGAGCTGCTCCTGCGGGAACGGTGTCGGCGTCGTTTTGGTGACGGTGGTCGTGGTCGTGCTCTCGCTCATCGTGCCAGCGGCAATCGAGACGATGGGCGTGTCCGGTATGATCGTGGGCAGCTTGCCAGCTGCTCCTCCAGATCCCACACGATCCGCCGGTGTGTCCGATAATGACGGCGCTTGTTCATTGTTCATCTTTTTTCGTTTGGTGGCATGCAACGCGGCAACGAGCTATCGAAACAAACAAATGCCATTCGAATTCGTCGAATCTGTTTGGGGGTAGCATTAGAAGGCGGGTCTATGGAGTAGTGTACTTTGGAGCACTTACAAACTGTTGCCTCTCCTGTTTTCCTAGGAATCCCAGCTGCCCAGCCGCCGTGTGTTCGCCACCGCGGCTGCAAGTGTTCTGTGGCCTGATTCTGCGGATTATCCGGTGTCCTGCTTGGATTCCGCTTGATTTCCAGGTGGATAAAAGATGGGGGGGTGGCCCACCTATTGCGTATCACTCGGGACTCCTGCTGCACTTGACAGGCCTGTCGTCAGTGGCTTCTTCTCCTCGAATCTCTGCCCGTGGCATTTACGTAGGTCCTGCGAAGTCCTGAGAGTCCTGCAGTCCGGGCACGAGGATTGTACGCCTGCTTAACGGCCGGGAATTGCCGGGAATACGGAAATGTGTGCGCACGGAGCTGCAATTGAAATGGGGGGATGATGAGGACACATTGGCCCACTGTTCGGGTATTCTGCTGCGTTTGTTGTTGTTGTGGTTATGCAGACAAGTGGGCGGGGGTGTTTTGCTTGCTTTAGCGGTCCTTTTGCGGCCCACTGGCTTCACATTTCTTTGAAAAGCAGAGGTTTTTCCCCATATTCCTTATTTTTTGTGCCTGCCAAGACGCGCAGTGTTGCCAACTGCGCTGGAGGATAGGGTTGCCGAGCGTTGTCCTTTTAAAGGAGCATGCTAAAGACTACCTTTTGATCTGAGAAAACCTGGTTATCGTTTACGTTCCCAACAACTAGCAACATACGAATTATAAACACTTTTGGCAAATAATTAGTAACAACACACAATACCGAATTTCAAAAATCTACCCGCTAGTTGGCAACCCTTTGGCTGTTGTCAGTGGCAACACTAGCGCAAAACACGTCATTTTGACAGTTTTTTCACCTATTCCCCAGTTGTCCTGCCATCTTTTTACCATTGTGAACACTTTGTACCCTAGTTATTTATGCAATTACCCAGTAACTGAAGTTTTCCGTTAATCACAGTATTATTTATTGATAAATACGCAAGTCGATGACAGCTGTATAACTTTCTGCGCACTCACACGCACACGTACACATACGGAAACACACACACACACGGGCGCAGGTATGCGCCTGTGTACATTTTTCTGACCTTCTCGGCGTTTTTTTATGGTTTTTAGCAATTGAAAGAAACACACACTTAAAATGCTGCATTCATTGGCGAGGCCTTTTTTGGTCAGTAATTAACAATTGTGCTCTTATTATCTTACAGCTGTCTGTAAGCGGGCGAAATTGTTTAATTGCACAGTAGGCACATGAGAAAAAAAATCCGAACCGAAGAGAACACTGCGGAATTGTTGTTGTATTTTGCAGCACTTTGAAAAGGGGACGCTGCGCAGCACTGGTCATCGATATTTTTAAACCGCTGATGTCACTGTCTATCGATGAAGCGATACTTTAAATAAGTGTCCATCTCTAGATGTTTTTATTTTAGCAAAAAAAAAATATATAAACAAAACTAGTAATGAAAATTAACCACAAATATGAATTCGACGACGATGTCGCCTCCATTTGCGAGTCAACGGTGAGTTGAGTTATTATTGTTTCCGGAATGGGCTTCATGTGTTCTTGGTGTTTGCAGGCCGCCCTTACCGAAGGATGTCGTCTGCCCGTCAGGATGCACAAAACGGACGACTGGCCGCTGGCGGAGATTGTGAGCATTAAGGAGCTGGACGGACGACGTCAGTTCTACGTGCACTATGTGGACTGTAAGTATATGAGATTCCGGTGAAGCTGCATCCCGTTTATAACTCTTAATCCCCGCCAGTTAACAAGCGTCTGGATGAGTGGGTCAACGAGGAGGATCTGTACACACGCAAAGTGCAATTCCCGCGACGAGATGGCTCCCAAACAGGCACCAGCACCGGGGTGACCACTCCCCAGCGTCACCACTCGCTGGCGGGCAGTGTTTCCCGGCCCACATCGCCGCAACATCCTGGTTCCGGCGCCCTGGCCTCCATCCCATCGACTCCCAGCGGTCCAGCAAGCGGTGTTCCTCCCCCGGCTGCTCTGCCCAGCTCGGTGGCTCCTCCGGGAACGCCCAGCAGTGGCGGAGAACTAGTCAATGGCAACAACCTCGCTGCAGCCCTGCAGAAACGCATTAATCGGAAGAGGAAAGTCCATGGGGGATCGGCCCATGGCCACCACACCCTGCAGGTGCAGCCGCAGCAGCCACTTGCGCATCCTGTCACCCCACAAACGCCCACTGCCACGCCCGTACACGTGACAGGTGATGGGTTGATCAGTGGAGCGGCCAACGAGGATGGCGATGGCTCGCAGGATGGCAAGACGCCCACGCCGAGGCAGTCGGGCAGCATGGTCACGCACCAGGACGACGTGGTAACGCGCATGAAGAATGTGGAGATGATCGAGCTGGGCAGGCATCGCATCAAGCCCTGGTATTTTTCCCCCTACCCGCAGGAGCTATGCCAGATGTCCTGCATCTACATCTGCGAGTTCTGCCTGAAGTACAGGAAGAGCAGAAAGTGCCTGGAGCGGCACCTGTCCAAGTGCAATCTGAGGCATCCGCCCGGGAACGAGATCTATCGGAAGCACACCATCTCATTTTTCGAAATCGACGGGCGAAAGAACAAGGTGTATGCCCAGAACCTCTGCCTGTTGGCCAAACTCTTTCTCGACCACAAGACACTTTACTATGACACGGACCCGTTCCTCTTCTACGTAATGACTGAGTTCGACTCGCGCGGCTTTCACATCGTGGGCTACTTCTCCAAGGAGAAGGAGAGCACCGAGGACTACAACGTGGCCTGCATCCTCACAATGCCTCCGTATCAGCGAAAGGGCTACGGCAAGCTGCTCATCGAGTTCAGCTACGAGCTGTCCAAGTTCGAGGGCAAGACTGGCTCGCCGGAGAAGCCCTTGTCGGATTTGGGCCTTCTGTCCTATCGATCCTACTGGGCGCAGACCATACTAGAGATCTTTATCAGCCAAAACCCAAGCACGGATGGCGAGAAGCCAACCATAACAATAAAGTAGGTCCTTGGCTCTTGATGAGTGCAAAATATCGTTAACATTGCTTGTTGCGACTAATCTATTTATTTTTACCTCTTCCAGCGACATCTGCGAATGCACATCGATCAAGAAGGAGGATGTGATCTCCACGCTGCAGAACCTGAACCTGATTAACTACTATAAGGGCCAGTACATCGTGTGCATCAACCGAGACACCATCGAGCAGCACCGGCGGGCGATGGACAAGCGCAAGATTCGCATCGACTCCAAGTGCCTGCACTGGACGCCCAAAGACTGGTCCAAGCGCTCCAAGTGGTAGTTACCCTCACAAAGCTTATTATAAACTCAATTTAACACGATTTTAACCTCTGTTTCAGAATTCCATTTTACCGGATGGATGTGTATTTATTGAAGCTCATAGTTTTCAATCGCAATTCTCCGATTTTAATGTTATAAAATAGTTTATTTCACAATTATAAATATACTTTTAAAACAAACGGCTAGATGTTTGTCTTTCTTGTAGAGAGGAGGTCGTCCACAAGGCGATCCATGCCCTGCATAATGCCAACCTCCAGACCGTTTTCCAAACCATCGACGGCAGTGCTCAGATCCTTGAGAGCCTCTTGATTCTGGGCGAACACTCGCTGCTGGCGGCAGAGATTCGAGCGCGGTTTGTGAGCGGTGTTGAGCTGCTCCTGGCACTGCTCTAGCTCCTTGCTGTCCAGACAGGTGGGACGTAGATCGCTGTTGAGTTTGGAACGCAAACTGGCGATATCCTTGGCCGCCTGGGCGATTGATTCCACATCGGGTGGGCGCTGGGCGTCCACTGCAGTCTGCAAGGCGGCGCACTTTAGAAGCCTTGCCAGGCGCCCAAATTCCCGCTGATAATCGCACTTGGCGTCCAGCCAGAGACGCACCTGCTCCTCCACCTGGCGCTTCACATTGCGGCTGTCCTCCTGGAAGCGATGCATCGCCTCCAGCTGCAGCAGGCGCTGGATGTCGTCCATGTCGTCTCCGGCCTCGAAATTGGGCGGAGTGGATGAACTGGGAGTCGGTGGAGTCTCCATTTTGGAAGTTAATAACAAATTTTTAAAATGGGACTCAAAGAGGGAAATTCAGATTCGATAGCTTAGTTATGGTAGCTTGTTATCGGAAACAATCGATAGCTGGGGACAGAGATTTAAACAGTGATGACTTGTTAGCTTTTTTGTCACGTTCTGTCTCGCAATACAATTTGTTTATCACAATAATAATTAATTCATAACGATTTCACACAACTAAATTCCTGTGGCTTTACACATATTTATACTATCCCCAGAAGTGTTATAATTGAATACAAACTAATTAGTAAATAAACACAATTCTATTCAAATCAACTATGATATTATGCTTTTTCAGCAAGTTTAAGTGAAGGTATATTATTTGATACCAAAACCACAAACCACAGGCACTAATTAGTCTATTAATTATATTTTTATTACAAATACATAAATTAATAAATTCATATCAAAATATCCATAATAATATATATACATCATTTTTATAAATCCCATTTTTTTATCCATAATAATATATATACATCATTTTTATAAATCCCATTTTTTTTATTATAACAAATGTATTTTGGGTTAAATGTTAAAATAAATGTTAGAATAACTGTCTAAATACAAATTGTACAATATAAATGAAAATTTTTTTGAATAAATCTGGATGTTTCCTGTGATTAGCACGAACAATTAGATTATGCCCAGTAGTCGACATACCGGTTTCTAGCCAGTTTTGAAGTCAAGAAATAACAAATTAATTATAAACAATGCGCAAAATAAAGACTTTTTCTTAAAAGAAAAAAAATAATTTAGTCTTTTGTTTAAAAATTGTTCTATTCACACATACCAAAAAACTTAAGATGGTAAAAACTTAAGATCTTATGAGTTTGGAAATACAATTTGAGGATGAATTCTCGCTGTGCCATCATTTTAGATGACCACTGTATTTTATGGCTGGTGAAATATAATTTTTAAAATAATTTTTCTGGCTAATTTTATTTTTAGTGAAGTATTTATTTTTGCGACATCTTCCAAGACAAGCTTTAGCAGTCCGGCAACGCTCGACAGCCAGTGTTGCCAGACAGCCGGCGAACACGTTTTATTTATTCGTTTCGTTTGGAAAATAAATAAACGTCGCTTTTCCTCTATATAACTTATTTTGTGGATTAAATAACTATAGCTTTATAAATGGGTCGAAACAAGAAGCAAAATCCCTTTGCTGCCCGCAAGCGGCAAAAGCGTGAGAACGTAAGTTGCTGAAAATTCAGTTGAAAAACACTCCACGTTTTCCCATTTTAATGTTTTATATCTCGTTTTACCATATAATAGGGTCCCGAGCGGCCCGATCGCAGAGCCCTGCCTTATGAGGAAATAAAGAGGGACAATGCGTTCTTCATCAAGTACTACCACCTGCAGAAGATCTGCGAAAGCGAGGAGGAGTGGACGCAGTTCCTCGATTCCATAAGGGACAACCTTCCCACCACTTTCCGGGTCACAGGATTCAAGGACGAAGCCAAGGCCCTGCTCGCGATCATCGAGACGCAGCTGTTCACCGAGTATGTGCGTGCGGTGGCCGAACTGCACCAGAAGGCGCCCGAGGACGTGGAGCGTCCGCTGTGCCTGCCCTGGTATCCCAACGGGCTGGCCTACCAGCTGCATCTCACCCGCAAGGACATCCGTCGTTCGGAGCCGCTCTACCGGCTGCACAACTTCCTCATTGTGGAGACGACGGCGGGCGGCATCAGCCGGCAGGAGGCCGTCTCCATGATTCCACCGATTGTCCTGGACGTCCGGCCCACGGACAAAGTGCTGGACATGTGTGCCGCGCCGGGTTCCAAGACGGCCCAGCTGATAGAGGCCCTGCACGCTGCTCCGGAGGAGCATAAGATCCCACCCGGCTTTGTGCTGGCCAACGATGTGGACAACAACCGCTGCTACATGCTGGTGCACCAGGCCAAGCGTCTCAACTCGCCCTGCCTGCTGGTCACCAACCACGACAGCAGCGCCTTCCCCAATCTGCTGGTCACCCAGGAGGACGGCTCACGGGGCATCCTCAAGTTCGACAAGATCCTGTGCGATGTGCCCTGCTCCGGAGACGGTACGCTGCGCAAAAACCCCGACATCTGGCTGAAGTGGAACCTGGCCCAGGCCTACAATCTGCACGGCATTCAGTACCGAATTGTGCGGCGTGGCGCCGAGATGCTGGAGGTGGGCGGTCGCCTGGTTTACTCCACCTGCTCGCTGAACCCCATCGAGAACGAGGCGGTGTTGCAGCGCATCCTCAAGGAGGCAGACGGAGCCCTGGAGCTGGTCGATGCGGGGCACTTGGTGCCGGGGCTGAAATACAAACCCGGCATGACCGACTGGAAGCTGGCCACCAAGGAGGTCGATCAGATCTTCACCAGCTTCGAGGAGGTGCCCGAGAGCCTGCACACCATCATCCGGCCGGGTATGTTCCCCCTGCCCGCCGAGGAGATCTCCAAGATCGGGCTGGAGAAGTGCATAAGGGTGCTGCCGCATCTGCAGGACAGCGGCGGCTTCTTTGTGGCCGTCCTGGAGAAGCGCCGTCAGCTGAGCTTCGAGAAGAACGATGTGGTCGCGCTGGTGGAGCTGAACGAGAAGGCCAAGCAGCCGGACCAAGCCGCAGAGCCGCAGCTGGATGAGGAGGGCAAGCCCATTGAGGAGAAGTCGGTGCCGTGGGGACCGCAGCGGAAAAAGCGACGGCTGCACGGATACAAGGAAGATCCCTATGTGTTCTTCGGCGAGAACGATGCTGATTACGAGGCCATCAAGGAGTTCTACCAGCTGGACGAATCCCTCAGCCAGCGCTGCCTTCTCACCCGATGCATCACCGAGAAAAAGAAGAACATCTACTACTGCTCGGACCTCATCCGCGATCTGGTGCTCAACAACGAGCACCACATCAAGATCATCAACACGGGCGTCAAGACATTCGTGCGCTGCGAGAACCGGCACACGGTGCATCCGTTCCGCTTGGCCCAGGAGGGCCTGCAGACCTCGAATGCCTTTATGGGCGCCAACAGGCGGATCCAGGTGGAGCGGGAGGATCTGGTGATGATGCTCAACTGCACCGATCCCACGCAGCCGCCGTCGACGCACGAACTGAAGAAGGAAACCCAGGAGCGCTGCAAGGAGTTGGGTAAGTTCTGTCCAGCCTCAAGTTTTGGCGGGAAACTAACGAATGTCCAATTTCTAGGAGTGGGCAGCTGCATCCTTAAGTACGTCGACGAGCGATTCACGCTGTACACGGTGGGCTGGCGCGGCACCTCCAGCCTGCGCGCCTATGTCCACAAGGACGAGACCATCCACATCCTGCGGCTGCTGGGCGCCGATCTCAGCAAGTTCGAGACCAACAAGTACGAGGAGGCGAGAGCCGCAGCCGCAGCTGCAGCGGAGGCGGCTGCAGAAGCTGGCAAGGATGTGAGTGCGGAGGCGGGAGCCGAATCTGAATCCTCAGGCGAAGGTGCCATTGCCGCCGAAAAAACAACCACGCCCATGGACACCGAAGAGGCGGCCACGAAGAGTTAGTGCCCATTTAGGAGTCGCACGGATAATCTAGCATTTAAGCGGACCAATTCCACCCTTCAAGTGGCTTGTATAATTATTACGAATCAAAAGTATATATTCCCATTATGTGGACCAAGTTAATGCAGTTTCGATTTTATTTAAAGGCAACAAATGCTGGAAACCTGCATAATTCCAATATTTCGGAGGTCTGTATTTTAACTTTAAATTATTATTGCAAGCGGTCTATAACAAAGAGGTAAGTTAGCCAAACTGTGAAAACAATGCTCAATTTTAACGCTATTCAATTTAAAATATCAAAACTTTGTAAAAGGTTCCTTCCGGACATTATTAAATCCATTTTTTTTTTTAGAACTTTTCACCCAAAGTCAAGCAAAATTCGTAAAATTTTTAGTACGTTTTGTTATAAAATGTTACATTTATTTTTTATTTTTCCCAGTATAAATATATCGTATGTAAAGTATATAAAAAAAAGTTCATTAAAAAATTACACATACTCTTTATATAGATGGTTTTCTACCGTATTTCTTTTTTTGTTTTTTTTTTGTTTGTTTTTCTGTTTTATACGCTTCATACGTGTTGTTTCGTGTCTTTTAAAAAGTATTTCTCATATATCTGCTGTCTTTCTTTTTGCGCAAGTGCAAATGTTCTGAGTGAGTTGGCTGTCGTTCGTATTGCTTTGTATCTGCGTTTTTTCCTCTGATGATGTGTGTGTTGTGTGTGTTTTGAAAACATTTATGCACAAATATATGGGATAGACGAATGTTTATTTTATGTTAATTACGCTGTAGGAATGAGACTGGCTCTCTCGCTTGTTAATACAAAAAATATATAAAAATAAAAATAGAAAAAAAAAACAATAGTAAAATACTTTTGCAGCAGTTGGAAAAATGAGAGGGAATAGTTTTTATAAGTATAAAGAGTGAGATGCGGCGAGACGTAAAAGAGACGACGGGGTGACTGAGGATCGGATCTCTGATCTCTGATCGCGGATCTCAGATCTCGGATCGGATTGGACCGGACTTGGACCCCTTTTAAGCCTTCTTCTCGGCCTCGATCACCTCCTTGGTGGGCAGCACGTTCTTCTCGTTGGTCTCGGTGTGCTTCAACTTTTTCGCATCAAAGTTCTCGATGCCGGCAATGAACTGATTCTTCTCCTTCTCCTGCTCGATGGCTGCAATCAGAGTGAGAAACGAAACCACACAATTATAGAGCGCGCACTTCCCATCTAAGGCAGCCTGCCTTCGGCTTTTATGGCCATACACACTACACATATGCAGTGAGTAGATGGCCTACAACGCACCTTCCTTATCGGGCAACGGGTTCTTCTCGTTGGTCTCCGTGTGCTTCAAGTTGTTCTGGTTGAAGGCGGTGATGCCCTCGAAGATCGACTGTTGGGTCTTCTCGGCAGCCACATCTGTTTATAGGGAAGATGGGATATCACATATCAGTATATACAGTAAGCCTTCCCGATCTCAAACTCACCTTCGGCGGTGGGAAGAATGATCTTCTCCTGGGTGCTGGCGTTCTTCAGTTTGTCCTGGTTGAAGCCCTCCAACTGGCTCTTCAGGTTCTCGGCTACCTTGGGCAGATCCTTGAGTGCTGGTGCTGGGGCGGCCATCTGTAAAATACAATTTTCCATGGATTAACTAAACGTGTAACATATAAATCAATGAATATAACAATATAACAAAGCCTCAGGTATGGTTTAAGATAATATTCTACATTTATTGTAAGTCTTCGAAATTAATATTGACAAACATGGCCAATAGAATGTTATAGAACTTCCACATCATAACATGTATTTGTAGTCATTAGATAACATGTTTTAATGCTTTCTCCATTTGCAAACAAAGTCAAACCAAAATCTTTTTATCATTAGTAAACCCTTTCAGAACTAGATAGCAAAAGCTTACTTTTTGTTTGTTTAAAGATATGGGAGTTTTCGACTCTTTTATAAAAGGCCTAATTAAGTTTAATTACATACAAATGTTGAAGAATGGCATTAATAATTAGATAAGATCTTCTTAGTATAAATTATTATTATTTAAATTCAAATTTGGCTATTAATGAATCACAAATCGTATTTCCCATTACAATTTCCAGTTAGAACCAATAGCCTAAAAGTCCAATTTGAGCCAAGCCGGAAGAGGATATCGATGTTATCGGTGAGTAAGTGAGGGAGAAGGAAGCCAACGCTCCGATAGACGATCTGTTGTTGTTCTGTATTGTTTGCTTTTGTTGATACCGATGTTGCGCCTTAATAAATAATTCATTTTCGTTCGAAACGAAACGTAATATCTCTTTGTTGACCGTTGGCTTTTATTTATTTTAGCTGCCCGATTTCTCAAGCGATAGGAAATAGCAAGAAAAAAGTTAATCATTCGAATGTGGGGCGATAACGATGACTCAAAACGCACAAAAATGCGGCAAGGACGAGTCATGTCTGCGTGTATGTGTGTGTCTCCAATCAGAAAGAAAGAGTTCAGCGAACCTTTCCAACTGGAAGAAGATTACTCCTATTGGCTTTGCTTTTCTCTTGCGTTTTGTTCTTGGCCTTTGTTTTTCAGCACTGGCATTCTTATCAGAAGGCATGTGTACTTGGCGAGCGGTTAAACTGCATTTTATCACGTTTATTTTTAGTTGCGAAATTCGAGTGTGCGTGCCACGCCAATTCCAACCGGACAACCTGCACAAAGAATCGTCTTTGTGTATCGAGATATCGGTATCAAGTCATCAGTCGCATTGCACTGCATTCGAACAGCTGCGCTGAAATAGCAATCGTTACAAGGGCAGCGACCGCGCCAAAAAAAAAAACAAACTGAACTGAACCGAACTGCACTGCACTGAATGGGGGAAAAGCATCGCGAATCTATATTTATTTGCACATTTATAACCATAAATGGTCGTAAAGCTCGGGCCCCAAGCCAACTCGCCAATCGCGTTGATTGACTAACTGACTAACGGTCGCCGATCTCCGCGCAATCCCCACTCCCCACTTCTCCACACGAAAGCAAGCCTATCTCAACTCACTTGGTTCATGCCGCACTTTTATCACGATCGCCGAACGAAGCTTGCTTTTCATCATGTACATGTGCAACATTTTTCAAGGGCAAACCATTTTAAATTCAAGTTTATAAACTTACGTTCCACTGTTTTATCAGTACTTCTTGCTAAATATTTATATTTAATAAACTTTTCACTGGCAAACAATTCTGTTTTCATGTTTATGGAATTCTTTTTATATTTTACCAAGTCGGAATGTAATGCATTACACTACAATATTTAATAAAATAATACAATATAATATATTATAAATAATAGTCAATAGTCGTTTGCTCACACTCTTTTGAAACCTATAATATTTATCTACACAATATTTCCACACTAAAAATTATAATTAACTGGTGATTAATTGAACTACTTTTTTTCTTTCTCTTATTTATCATTTATTGCAAGCATCGCTCTCTAATCTTTAATTTGATAATGCTGGTGAATTGCTCATAGTTTATAATCGCTACCAAAAATAACACCGATGAAGCAATAATGAGATAGCCCCAAGTAAACAGTAAAAAACAGCGATATATAATCTACTTTGAATGTGTAATTCATTGGGTATATTTCTTAGGAATTTTAAGGATGCAGTGATGCAAGCTTATAACTAAAAAGAAAGGCTTTATTAATTAACAAATTTTGGGGTAAGCTAAGTTTTTATGAACCTAACTAAATAAATCTTGGATATTTCCAATTGTTTTTTCCTGATTTCAAAATTGTGTTTCAGCTTTATGCGTTTTTTTGAACTTGACTTATGGCGATCGTAACGCTCAATTTGAATTTCGATTAATTGGAAATCGTGTAAGCCGAGTGTCGTATTAGTCAGCTCCTTGGAGCGAACAAAGGAGAGGCAACAAGAAAACAACAATGTATACATACATACAAAGTGGGAGTGTTTGGTGGAGAAGGGGATGGGGAGGGGGTTGATTTCCAGGGGGCGGGGGCAAATGAAGTTCGCCGTGAATCAACTTCCAACTTCGAAATTCGAAATATGGTCGCCCCGCTTAAAAGCCGCCGATGAATCATCGCTAATATCACATGTACATATGTATATGTGTTGTTTGTATGTGTTTTTATATGTTAAATTTATCGTTTGCCCACACAGCTGTGCTTCTTCTCTGACTTTGTAAGCTTTTCTTTCCTTTCTTTTATTTTCTCTCGTTGTCTCTTCCTGTTTTTGGTTAATTTTGTATAGATACATATGTATTATCTTGTTTTGTTTGGGGGTGTAAGTGAGACGCCGGCAAAGAGACCGTTAATAAAAAACAATAAAAAGAATTCGCTTTTTGGAATAGGTTTATATGTAAAGTAAAATGAGTCAAAGTTGCTGATGCGTGGCAACAAACAGACGAAAGGAGTTTAAAGAAGAGACACGAAGAAAGGGTGAAGAGGAAAGAGCGAAAAGGAGATGGAGAAATGAGAAATGACAGACACGTCCGCTTTTACAATTACACCCTCATAAATACTCCTGCATATATGCACATGTGTATGTGTGTGTAAGGAGCAAAGGGGATAAGAGAGACAGGGATAGCGACTTGCAATGAATATTAAGTACATATGCACAGTATATATAAACTTTATGCAGGCGGTTGCGTTTAGTCATATATTCGATTTCAAAATCGCTGGATATTGGATATCCCATACATTCTGGTGACAATGAAGCACGACTGCCACGCCCAGTAAAATTTGCAACACACTCATGGTAAATACAGCCGAGGTCACAATAATAGCACTCAAAACTGGGATTTTTTTTTTAAATATGCAATTTTACTGACTTCATACATTGCTGATTAAACATGTTTGTTTCAAGGTTCTATTTCATCTTTAAATGTCATTTGATAAAAAATGGTTTTGTAAAGTGGGACTTATTTCTTATTGATTTCAAAACCAGGGTAACTGAAGAAACATAATTTATTGTTGCCAATATTATTTATACTTTGAAATTTTGCTTATTTCGCTTGAAGTTAAATATGGAAAGTATATTCAAAAATGTTTGGTCAAATTAAGCAAAGTTCAAAGTTCGAAATAACATGATTTTCAATAAATTTGAATCTGTTTAATTTATATAGTTTTTTTTACATTTAAGTTAGTTCGCATCTGTGTAAAATTGAGTAACCCCTGCAAGACTGATATTTTTTTGGTGACGCTAACTGTGGACAAGCGCATCAATTTTATCTTAGCTTTATTAATATTTTTGTATGCATATACTAAGCAGTTTGAAGCTTTGTTTGTGACCAGCAGGTGTACACTCTTTGAGTCATTTATTGATTTAAAGGTATGTATTTAAATAACTAATATTTAATTTTTTTCGGATCAATTTACACAAGGGGTCACTTTTTTTGATGACCTCGACTGTGGGGGAGGATATTGGGCAGCAATAACAACCACATGCGCCCCGCCCAAGCACACACACAAACACATATATAAAAAGCAGACGGCAAAAAAAATTGAAGTGAAAAATGCCGGCCGGCACTCACACAGGCACATACAAAAACAGAGGGATTTCTGAAGTTTAAGCCACAAAAAAAATAGTCAACAAAAGAAGGCGGCGACAAGAGATTTAACAGCTGCAGAAAAAAGTTATAAAGTCAAAGAAATGAAAAGAAGTAGTTCTGAAGAGAAAGAAGAAAGTAAAGAGAAAGAGCAAAAAGTAACGGACTAGACCAACACAATAAATATTTATAACAAATCCGCTGCCATTTTTTGCAATCAATGAAGAAGCGCAGTCAACAAAAACCAGTTCCACTTATTATTTTGTACCCTCTTCTCCACAGAAAAAGAAATTACCGGCGATCACCCATTGAAAATGTTTAAACGATATTAATACCCTCTATAGGGGTTTACAAATCTGAAGTAAGCTCACCTTAATTTGGTTTTTGGCGTTGGTTTTTTGGATTGGCAAAGAGGATTACTAAGAATTGGAATGCTGGCGGGGTCGGGCCTTATATATATGTATAGCTGTACACTTGGCGAATTTTAACCCTCGGATTTGTTGTCGCGAGCTCAAGCTTACTGGACGTCACAAAATTTAATACTGCAGCTCGGCGGAGTTTCGCGGTTTTTATACCTCCAGAGTGACCGTTTTCCGGATCCAGATCAATCCCGATTTGATTGTCGTTCCCTTATTTGGTTTTGTAATGACGCAAAGTTACTCCAGTTCTATTATCATTGAAATAAGCAACAACAAAAATAATAATTATTTATACAATTTTTGTATTTTTTTAATCATTAATCATTCGAACTCTATTTTCAAAATCGTATCTTGAGTTCATGGTTCGGAACTTGGAAAATCAGGGACTCAACCCATTATTGTTCTTAAGTTTAAAATCTATCATCATATTGAAAACGATTACTAATCAGTATCCGTTTTTATTTTTTAATAAATAGGAACATTCTTTATGTACTATACAAATTTTATTTGTATATTCCCAAAACTTATTTTGAGGCCACAATAAATGAGATATCGAATTCGTACAACTCAAAACACTGTTTATATATACGTTGTTTACAGAAGCTTTGCAAACTTCATGGGTTTATTTGTCTTAGAAACATTGTAGGAAACAAAGAAAACAATCGATGTGGAAGTTGCGGTTTGCTTATTTAAGATATGGGTTACGAGGAAAAGAAACAACAATAAATATGAGCAACTATTGTTAATATTACTTTGAAAATATAGAACTGCGTTTCAATTTAATTTTTGATGTACATACATATAATATAAATTTATTGAAAATGTATAATCAATTTGATGATAATAAATCGGGAATATTAACTAACAATAGTATACGTTACTTTACTTTAAATTTATAAGGCTGTTATCTAGGTGGTGACTCATCCGTATGTACAATCTCGTGTGGCAGAGCTGGGCTAATGCCTGCCACGAAGTGGATCCTTTGTGCTACGCGTAGTTGGCGGACCGGCACTCGTTCCACACCCGTGTCATCTCCTCGGGATCGCCGAACTCGTGCGAGGCTATGACCGAACTGTAGCTATCCGGACCCTTGTACGTCGGCCGATGGAAGCGGAAGTCGTCGCAGTGCTGGAGGGGAATCCCCGCCTTCAGCGCCACTATCCCCAGGTAGACGTCGTCGAAGCGGAAGAGCGGCACGTGGACACTGGCCGAGTACATCTGGAGGAGGGCCTTCCGCGAGAGCATGAATGCCCCGGCGGTCACATAGGGTGGCCAGCGGTCGAAGGGGTACTCCTCCAGCGACACGTACCACTTGCTGAACTTGTGGCGCAGCGGCGCCGACTGGAACACATGCCCGGCGAACAGCAGCTCCGGCTGGTGGCTATGGCGTCCTCTGCCCAGGAACTTCAGCACATTCTTGGCCGACACATAGTAGTCGTCGTCCACGAAGAGGTAGAAGTCACTGCGGTTGAACTGCTCGCTGGCCCAGCGCATCCCGAGCATCGTTTTCAGGGTGTTGTTGAAGTAGGCATCGACGAAGTCCGCCTGCAGGATGTCCCCGTGTTCGCGGGACTCCCAGGCCAGGTCCTTTTCGCTTTCCTGGCCGCTCCCCAGCAGGAACACCCTGCGCAGGTGGACATCCGAGAAGCGTCCCTCGTAGCCCCACGTCCGCCGGATGGCCTCCCGTCTCCGGAAATTGCCCACGGCGCTCTTGATCAACAGGGTGAGCCGCGGGGGCTGGTCCACCTGGAGTTCGGCCGTGAAGGCGGGCACTCGCAGGTAGGAGTACGCCCCGATCCCGGAGGAGCCGCTGCCGTCATCCTTGAGCGGATAGTGGAAGTGCCGCTCGAAGTCCAGTTCGTGCAGGTGGGTCAGCAGGCCGCAGTAGTCCACCAGCAGGATGAGGGGCAGGACCAGGAGGCATCGCAGCAGCAGTTTGTAGTGCTTGCTCTGCATGGCGACCAATCCAAACCGAAATCAAAACAAAACAAGCAGTGCAAAGAACTTCGGTTGGCCGAACTTTATATGCTCTTACTGTTGTAGAAAATATGTAATATATATAAAATTCATTTTATTCAATTATACAACCCAATACAATTTATTTATGTTTTTAAATATATTTTTAAAAATCCTATCTATTAGACAGTATTCGGTAATTTTGGATTTAATTGAAAAAAATAATGAAAGTTATTCTAATTGGAAATTGATTTTTGCAGATCGGTATATAAATTAATCGTTTGTTTTTGTAACAGCTATGTAATGTAGTAAGTGGATTAGTTATTAATATAAATTTGTATTTTTGAAATTAAAAAAAATGTATCTTGATACAAATTCGTTTTCGTTCAAAAACTACATTATCTATTAATTTTTGATCATTTCTAGGGGTTGTCCAATTACTGTTCGACACGGTTGATGCCCTGATCAAGAATATATAAACTTTATATGGTCAGAAATATTGCAAACTTCTTACTAGAATTGTAGAACTCTTTGCAAGGGTATAGCAAAAATATTAGTGTAACCGTGGCGGGAGAAAATACTGATTGGTAAAGTGCCTTGGAAAAATAATAAGCATCGAAGTTAAACTATTCGTCTTAATGAAATGTGTTTTTATTAACAAAATAAATGGATCTCATTATTATAAAACATTTTTTTTAAATTTAAACTAAAGAAACTAATGCACTGCTTCTTTTAGTTGTTTACTAACACTAAAATTAAAGGAATGTTAATATTTAACATACTGTTTGTTAACATATCTTACATATCCCGTCATGAAAGTACCTCAAAAAATACCAGATGTATACAGAATCGCTCGCTCGGAATGTCAAACCGGCAAGAAGAAGCATATCGTATACAAATTAAAAAAATTAACGCGCTTAACAAAACGTTGTGAAATGGAAATGTCCGAGGATCCAGGCATTGATTGCGAAGCAGTTGCTCCGCCGGCGGAGAAGGGCTCCAAGCTGACCAATGCCCAAAAGGCGCGGATCGAGAGGAATCTGGCGAAGGCGCAGAAATTGCGGGAGGCCAAGTTGGTTTTGCATCCATTTAAGGATCTGGCCAGGTGGGTTGTCCTTTGTCCATTATCCTTGTAAAAACGTGAGACCTAAAGTTGCAATCCCCCGACAGCAACAAGGATGGCACCCACCCGGAGGCTGCCCTCAGCCAAGGAAGCTCCGTGATCAAGGTGCAGGGCACCAAGTACATAGACAGTGGCGGTGGATTCCTGCTGGAGCAGCCGGTCCTGCCCACTGGACCCGGTTTGAACAAGTCCGGGGAGGAGGCCCCCGTTATCCTGGACGATGCCATCGCCATACCCGTGCAGTACGAGGAGTGTTTGGAGTGCGGCGACCAGTTCGCCGACTCCTATCTGTTCAACAACTTTGGGCACTCGGTGTGCGACAAGTGCCGGGATAACGACGATCGCCATGCCCTGATCACCCGGACCGAGGCCAAGGCGGAGTATCTGCTGAAGGACTGCGACTTCGACAAGCGGGAACCGAAGCTGCGCTACATCAGCCGCAAGAATCCGCACAACGTGCGCTGGGGCGAAATGAAGCTGTACCTCCATTCGCAGATCCACCAGCGGGCCCTGGAGGTCTGGGGCAGCGAGGAGGAGCTGGTGCGCCAGCACGAGTCGCGCGAGGATAAGCGCGAGGTGGGCAAGGCGCGCAAGTACAACAAGCAGATGAAACAGCTCCGCATGGAGGTGCGCAGCAGCATCTACACCAAGAAGACGCACGCCATCCACGAGCACGAGTTCGGACCGGACACGTACAACGAGGAGGAGGACAACTACACGCACACCTGCCTCACCTGTCCGTACACCGAGACCTACGAGAAGATGTAGAGCAACTTGGTCGGTCTAATGCCCAACTTTGTAGTTTGTAAGCTGCAGTCTGTTGTAAGTCTGCCTGGAGTCCTTTAATCCTGCTGTCCAATTAGGGCATTGAAATCTTGGCTGCTTGATGAATCAATACCAACTAAAAAGATATTTTCTTTCCCTTTTTTTTTTAACACTTTAGTAAGTTTATTTTTAATAGATTCTGTTGTAAACAAAGAATTTTATAAATCATGTTGAATTAATTTGAAATTATGTCTTGTAAGCATATACTTATGTGAAGTAGAAATGAATCTTTACGGAATGAATGAATTATATGCATTAATGCTTTCACGAAATTTGTATAACCATTTTTTTTTTTACTAGTTTTCGGTCATACTTCTATTTTATTTATATAATATTAAGGATATTTTTAACATTACATATTATAAAAACTCTGTGAAATAACATTATTTCGACACGCTGCATAGTATCATTGGCATTAGTCGGTGTTTCTGAGAGAAATAATCTAAACTCTGGACACTGGAGGTCAGTAGGAATTCAGCGAGCACGACGGGATTCCTCTCGAATGTTCCTTGGTCCAGGGAGTGCTCCTTCTGGTGATGCCAGGTCGGTGTGGGCATTGTGCGTAACTAAAGCTGCAGTTGCTGGCCCACATCCATGTACTCCATAATTTTAAGAAGGCAGGAGAAATCCAATAAGAATACCAAGTAATAATTCTTGCTTGAATTCTTCTATGAATTAATGACGTGCAAAAGTAATTTAGTGCATGTGCATACAAAATAGTGCAAATTCTAATATAATAAAATCTATTCGTTTAATTTGAATTGCTAATATGGAAAGTAACAACTTATTACGTTTGAAAATTGGCAAAGTGCGCTCGTGCAGTATTTTAATGGTATTTTTTACCATGCGGTCTCTCTTCGCCGTGGCATTTGCCGGCATTCGGCGTACGGTCACTCCGGCGTGCATATACCAAATAAACAAAAAAAAAAGATTCGAGGATCCCCAAGTCCCCAGATCCCAGACACCAGACACCGGCTACCAGATCCCGTCGAGCAGCCAAAGATGGACGAGCCCTCGGACGATGAGAACTCGGAGCCCACGCCCAAGAAGATCAAACGGGAGTGGGTGAAGAGCTACTCGAACAAGGCCATGGAAATGATGAAGAAGATGGGTTACGAGAACGACAAGGGATTGGGCAAGAGCAACCAGGGTCGCCTGGAGCCGATCATCGCGGTGCAGCAGGACGGTCGCCGGGGATTCGGGCTCAAATTGGACACCGTCCAATCCTCCGCCGGCCAATGGGATCCCGCCTGCGAGGAGCTGGAAATTCCCGAGCCGGTCCTTTGGCTGCACAATCCGGGCGGAACTGGAGCTGGCTCCTACAGCCTCGACCGGCTGATGGGACACGTGGTCACCGGGCCAAGGAAACTCACCCTGGACGAGGAGACACGATACTGCGATCCGGCCATCCTGCATCACATCCTCAATGCCAAAACTGTATTCGATGATCTCAACGACAGCGAGAAGCGGCGGGCGCGGTCGCGCTGCAATCCCTTCGAGACCATCCGCAGCTCCATCTTCCTCAACCGCGCCGCCGTCAAGATGGCCAACATCGACTCCATGTGCGACTTCATGTTCACCAATCCCCGCGATCCCGACGGCCAATCTCTGGTGGCCAACGACGAGCTGCTCTACTTCACGGACATGTGTGCAGGTGAAGTCCTTGAAGGAGAAGCACTCCACGGAGTTTACTCGAATTTGACTGCATAAAATCGAACTTTCTTTAGTTTTTAGAAAAGCGAGCAAACTTAATTAGAATTCGAAAAAATGCTTTGAAAGTGAAAACCAGAGAGGGTTATATTTTTATATATATTAAAACATTTCCGTTTGATAAGAAACCATCCTCAAATAGTTTAAGTTTGCAGTGCTTCTCAGAACTTCTGCAAGAGTTTTTTTGAGAATATCCATTCTTTGGCTTAACTCAATCTACTGTCATCCCATAACCGTTGTCGTATTGCAACTTATTTGTCTTATTTATCTTATTGATTTTCAATTTGAAATAAGAACCAGAACCATGAACTATACTTCACAACTAGAATATTACAAGATCATTTGTAATTCGCCCTTTAAGAAAACACACGTTGTATGACTTAAATGTGATTAAGAAACCATAATAACCAAAACACCTTAAAAACGTGACTAATATTTTGCCTTTTTTTTTGCAGGCCCTGGCGGTTTCTCCGAATACGTGCTGTTCCGCAAGTCCTGGGAGGCCAAGGGATTTGGCTTTACACTGCGCGGGGCCAACGACTTTAAGCTGGAGAAATTCTTTGCCGCCTCGCCGGAGCCCTTCGACACCTTTTACGGCACGAAAGAGGATGGCAACATCTTCGATGAGAGCAACCAGGACTCGCTGAACGAATACATTCGCCTGCACACGCCGCAGGGCGTCCACTTTGCCATGGCCGACGGTGGATTCTCGGTGGAGGGGCAGGAGAACATCCAGGAGATCCTGTCCAAGCAGCTGTACCTCTGCCAGTTCCTCACCGCCCTGAAGATCCTGCGGCCGAACGGGAGCTTCGTCTGCAAAATCTTCGACCTCTTCACTCCGTTCAGCGTGGGCCTGGTCTATCTGATGTACAAGTGCTTCCACCAGATCGCCGTCATCAAGCCGAACAGCAGTCGGCCGGCGAACTCGGAGCGCTACTTGGTCTGTAAGTACAAACGGTCGGACTCGGAGACGGCGGCCATCATAGCCTACTTGAATGCGGTGAACCTCATGCTGACCGAGGAGTCGCAGGAGGAGGATAGTCAGCACGACGTCCTGGAGATCTTCGATGCCAACGAGCTGGCCGAGGACGAGGACTTCCTGCGCTACATCATCGATTCGAACAATGCCATTGGCAAGAAGCAGATCGTGGGCCTGCGCAAGATAGCCGCCTTCGCCCAGAATCCGGAACTGAAGGAGACCAAGCAGTCGGAGGTGCGGCAGGAGTGCCTCAAGCGCTGGGGTCTGCCGGATAAGTTGCGTCAGGCGCCGGAGATCAAGCAAACGGATAGGCTGCTAGAGGAACTCCTCGCCGATTGGGCGCCCGATCGCAACTGGCTCAATCTGCCGGCCACCGAGATGAGTGGGGTGCCCAGTCTGAGCATGGCCGTGCAGAACGTGGCCGACTGGTACTTTGTGCCCGTGGGTCGCGAGGAGACGAACATCAATGCCTGCACCCTGTTCCTGTGCAAGTCGCGCGGCAACCTGCTGCGCTACACGGAGCACAAGAAGTGGGAGTTGGTGGAGACCGCCTTCGAGGTGCAGCCACGTTCGATCTTCTTCGGCCAGATCGTGTACGAGTTCTACGGCGAGGGCAGGACCATCCAGCGGGTGGCTGCCCTGCACATCATCGATGGCATCTGCCTGGGCGGCATCGACATTCGGCGGCGGCCGTTCCGCGAGCGTGTGAGCATGTGCGACAAGTTCGCCCGGAGTCTGAACAAGCCGCACCGCAAGGAGCGCACCTTCGGCGCACTGCGCAGCAAGCCCTTCTTCCGGCTGCAGGATATGGGCAGCTTCTTCGCGGACATGCGGCACTATGTGCTGAAGGATAATTCGCAGCGCTTCGGCTACGCGCTCGACGACAACAAGTTCTTCGTGCCGGGCGGCATACTGATGTTCTGCGAGCTGACCACCAACTATGTGTCCGCTCACTCGCGGTCGCGGGGACAACTGTACTACTTCAACGTGAAGAACAAGGAGTCGTACTACAAGGAGCAGATACCCAGCAAGAAGGCCGCCGAGATCTTCGCCTCGTTCCGGTACAGCTACTCGCGCCGCCTGCTCTGGAAGTGGACGGACCTGCGCCAGGTGGAGGAGCTGGCCACCGAGGACAATCCAAAGATCCTGTTCCGCAGCGACTTCGTCAAGTTCATCGCGGACAAGCAGGGCCACAGTTAGGCCCCCGCCCATGAAAAAATGAAAGAAACGTAGCCATAAGTCTAATCTATACATACGCATACGTGTTTTTTTTTAACTTACCCCGCATGCTTAGGATTTATCTGGAGGTTTTACAACAGATCCCTGCATTTTACTTATTCGACTTAAGTATTCGACCATTATTTGTACGCAGGAACTGAATCATTTTGTTTTTTTTTCTGACCATCACTACTAACATTATACATACAATGTCATGTGTCTGACAGAAAGTGTGCAACTGTTTTATTTCTAAAGATCTTACCAAAGTTACACCGTCTTTCATTTGGATTGGGGCTTTCTTTTGGGTGCCATTTTAACTCTGGTTTCTAATTTACATATCATGTTATTTATTAACTTATAGAATGATGACTCAAAATTGAACTTCTGGAGTCTGAAACTTGAATGTTTCGATTAAGAGTGATTACAAAGTGGCATAATTCTATATTTGTCCACTTCTGTTTTTCAGACAATAAAATCAATATTGTTAGTGTATAAAGTTAGCTATTTTCCATACATTTTCTATATTAATTTGCTAAAATCTTTAATGCCCCATCGCCGCCCACTCGTTTTTTCCACGGGGAGTTGTCAGCGGCAGAAAGTTGCATTCGCTGGTCCTTGCAGCTTAATTAATCACCCGATAAATGGCCGGAGAGCGGACTTCTGGGGACTTGGGGGTCCGGATTCCGCACTGTTTACAGTTGGACAAAAAAGCAAATTTTCGCCCCGTACTTCTGCAATTCACGCCACACAACTTCAGTTACACATCGCCGAGAAGAGAGCCTCGGCATTTGGGGATTTGGGGTCAGGGGTCAGGGGGTCAGGGGCCAAATGCCACTGACATGCGCCAGTAATTAACGTCCCATTTTGGGTTAGATTATCCATGAATAATTGGAAATGACGATGGTCGCGCCTGTCGCACAGAAAGAAAATCAGAGGAAAATTGCCAGTATTCAATTGATTTCACATATAGAAATCTTCATATTATTGTTTTAATGGGGCTTACAAAATATATACGTATTGTTTCTATACCATTGATAAATCATTGTTAAATAAATTTTTTATTTATTTTTGGTTAAGGGGGATATTTCTTCATAGAACCCCAATCAAAGTTTGTATTTCTACCATAAATTAACATTTATTTAGATTTCTTATAGTGAATCAGCTAAAATCGGTTAAGAACCTTGATTATTTTGAGTGGTTAGTGTTAAGTTAGTATTTTGATTGGTATTAAAGTAACCCCCGTTGTATCAAAAATTACTTCCATGTGGAACCTAAGATATATTTTCCTCCGTGCAATAGTTAGGTGCAACTGTAATGGATGGAGGAGCGAAATCCGATCGAATTGAAGTGGAGGCCGGGACTTGG